CTATGTTGTAAAATATACTGCAGTATTAGTGTCTGTCTGAGTGATTCTAGAATCAGTGGTAGCACTGACAGGTAGTCCCCTAGGAAGACTTAAGTGACTAAACTTCGCAGACCCAATAGGGGTTTGGTGGGCCTTCAGAAGTCTAAACGTAGCTCTGTTGGTGAGAGTCTCTTTGATAAGATGTATCCCTGTCATGTGATTGTGGCTAAATGTTGAGGTTAGCCACATGAATCTAATCTCCCAAGTCTAAACGTAGCAAAGCGAGATTAGATTATTTTGTTTTAGTGTCTTAATTTCACCCAGTCTAAACGTAGCAAGGTGAAGTTAAGTTGTCTTGTATTAATTGGCTAGCCATATGAATCTAATCTCCCAAGTCTAAAAGTAGCAAAGCGAGATTAGATTATTTTGTTTTATTGTCTTAATTTCACCCAGTCTAAACGTAGCAAGGTGAAGTTAAATTGTCTTGTATTAATTGTTTAAACTCATAGGTTAAACGTAGCACTTGAGTAAGATGTATTGTGTTAAAATTGTATAACTGTGTGTATATGGTTTAAATTTTGATAAACTGTGACATCATTTGAGAAGAGATTTTTGTGTAAACTCCAGTTGTCAGTCAGTATACAGACTGAAAATTGTGACCTTTCGATCTCTCAAAAGGTGATATAGTGGTGTGTAAAAGTACAAGTAACAGAAATGAGGTTGAATCATGGCAAGCAGCTTGATCATGGGGATAGTATACCCAGTGATTCCCCAGTTTATTTAATGAAACAGAAATATGGCCCTTCAAATATTATGTATTCAAAGAAATGGGCAAAGTTAACTAAGAATAATATAAATCCATGGCCAGTGGTGGGGTCATTAGACCCTTGGGTGTTGTTAAGTTTAAGAACAATGTTGTTAAATGAAAAAAGTCTTTCAAAACTGGAATGGTCTGCATATATGTTATGGCATGAGGAAATTGAAAAGAAAAAGCAAGAATGTTCCCCCCAGTCTGGTGCAACAGGAGGGGCACGTAAAGGAGAGGGTACTGGTGTTGCCTGTTTGTATCCCTCACTGTACAATTTAAAAAGAAATGTTAAAAATCCTCCGCCTTATAATGATGATGAGGATTTTTTGATTAATCATGAGATTATGAATCCCTCTTTGGGTCACTTCCCCTCAGCAGATGAATGATGCACCACAGCTTGTACCCCAAAATTTAGCTGGTGCCTCAGCCATGTTGCATTGAGGTGGTAGACCTGAGAGGGATATTAGACTGCCTAAAAGATTTGCTGATCATGCTGTGGTAACTACAGGTTTATCAGGATGTAGCAATGTGTTGCCTGAGAGTGATGGGAGTGATGGGAGTGAGGCTATGATTTTACCTATTAGAGAAGTGGGACAGATGGATAATGATGGGAGACCACGGAGGATTTGTCAACCGTGGAGCCCACAAGACATAGCATTTTTATAGGTATCATTTCCTGCCCCCTCTAGATCCAAATGGGTTTGTAAAACATTTAAAAATAATGTGTGCCAGCTATTTCCCCACAACATAAGATCTTAATGAGTTAATGGAGACAGTATTAACCCCTGCAGAACATACTAAATGGGTGGCAGGATATAATGAGTCACCTTTCTCATGGCCTGCATGGGTGGGGGGACAAGCAGTTGCACACATATGGGAAAATTGCCCTGATGAGAGGAGTGATGTTGTCCTTAAGAATTGGTATGCATTCCTCAGCATTAAAGTAAAAACTGTTTTTACCCAGCCTATTGACTATACATAGCATAGTGCAAAAGAAAGGAGAAAACCCCTATGAATATGCGGAAGCAATTAAGGTTTTTGGAAGTTTTGAAGATATCACAAATTAATCAATTAAGCCGTTCATAGTGAATACCTTAGTAAATGGTTTGGATGCTAAAGTAAAAAAAAAACAATTGATGTTATCCTTACTGGGATGACGGGATAAATCACTTAATATTGTATTAAGTGCAGCATCAGAAATTTGACAAGCTATTCAAATCAAGGAAAATGCAAAAGCTGAGCACATAATGCTACAAGCTGAACAAATTCCTGTTAGATATTATGCACATCAGCCAAGACAAAACATAGCCAGAAGACCCCCACAGAATAATGTAAGAACATTTATCAAATGTTTCAATTGTGATGGATATGGTCATATAGCAACAGATTGCAAGGAGGTAAAGGGGGCAAGAAAGCAATTAGAAGAAAAAGACAGACTAGATGTAGAGGAAGATTGGGGTCTGAATATGTATTGTTAGTGTACCAGTGACCCAAGGTCCAGAACCTATGGTACATTTGAAAGTAAATGAATTGTATGTGATACTGAGGGAAGAAGAAGTAAGTGATTTTGGTGGGGAGAGTGTATATTTAGTGGAAGACCAGCATTACCATCATTGTTTAATTCTGAATGGTCAAGGCTGGGCCTAGAATCTGTATTGGCACTGGTGTGTTCTTCATGTGTTATTTGTTTACAATACAATGCAGGTCAGAGACCTAAATCATCCTCCCTGTTCATGAGGTCCATTTGTAAATTTACAAATGGATTTCATTGAATTACCAAAGGTAATGCAGTACCGGTATGTGCTAGTAATATTAGATACATTCTCAGGTTTGGTTGAGGCTTAACCTTGTTGCCATGCGGATATTGTCTACAGTGTCTAAGAAATTGTTACAAGAATTTATACCCAGGTATGGATTGCCTCGGCACATTTACTCAGATCAGAGAACACATTTCACAGGAAAAGTAGTGCAACAGATAGCAAAAATTTAGCAAATCCCTTACCATTTACATTGCTCTCATCATCCTCAGTCAGAAGGAGCAGTAGAAAGGGCCAATGGAACATTGAAAAATAAAATTGCAAAAATTGTAGCAGAGACAAAGTTAAAGTGGCCTGATGCACTTCCTCTTGCCTTAATGTCTATGAGATTCTCTCCAGCTCGAAAGCAGGGTTATCCCATCATGAAATTCTAATGGGAAGACCAATGTTCACAGGACGGGTACCTATAAAATGTTATTCTCATGAGATAAATGATGATTTAGTAATGACGTATTGCATGTAGCTAACAAAACGATTAGTCTCTCTATATGCAGGTAAAAGCTGTACAGCGAACAAGTGAATACCAACCTTTGCATGCCATCGCTCCTGGAGATTATGTTATGATAAAAGACCATTCACGAAAGCACGCGTTGCAACCAAGGTGGAAAGAACCTTCTCAAGTGTTATTAACCACTAATTCAGCTGTTAAAGTCGCAGGGGTTAAATCTTGGATCCACATTTCCCATTGTAAACTGACAAGCGCTGGAAAAGATTTTTTCACTGGAAGAAGAATAGAGGACTAAGGAAGCCGTTTTCCCTTCTAAAAAGGGGTACTTTATAAGGGGAGTATCTTTCTAATCCAAAGTCAACTCTACTGTTTTTCTTCATGAATCTCAAACTGGTTAAACTTATATTGTCCTTAATGATTGTCATTATGACATTTTTTTAATTTTTCATCCTCTACACTACGTTAGCTCCTCTTTTTTTCTTTAATACACGTGTAGCTTGGGCCAGGGAGCCAAGTATTTTTCTTCTTGGGAGATAGATAATCATTTCGTTAAAACAGCTACTGAATTGTATAAATTATCAAACAAAAGTAATCATTGTTGGGTTTGTGGGTTTGCTCCGCATTCCATGAACTATGGTTATCCTTTTGTGGGGGTGCCATGGTCTATGGAATCTCTTTGTGAGAAAATAAGAGCAAATAAAACGGGGTTTGTTGGATTTATTCAGAATGAATTATCCAAATCTGGCGAACCTGCTAAGGTTCATTTAACATATCCCATTACTAGCAGAGCAGTAGTAATTTCTAACAGGGATCAGAAAAGTCCTGACAAGATTGTTAAGCCTATAAGCAATGCTATTGTTATTTTTGAAAACAATGTCCTTTTATAATCTATGTGGGTCTGAAACTAATTCTGCCCCTTGTACTGGTAGATTGAAAGCTTTTTGTTGGAAACCCTTATTAGAAGATATTTTAACAAAATGTCCCATCAAGGATAGAATCCCGGTGATTACTAATCATGTATGGGTAAATTTGACTTCTGAGGTAGAAATCATGGATAATAATTATGACCAGAATGAACATTTAAATGTCACTATTTTGAGATGGGCCTACTTTAATACTCAAACTTCCAATCTTTTTATGCTACTGCCCTATATTAATCAACCTATTTTTGACTGCTCAGATTCTCATGTTATTGATATCCATCTTCCATTTGGGGTATACTATTTATGTGGTAGTTGGGCGGTAAAAAGACTTCCATGTAATTGGGTGGAAACTTGTTATCTAGGTAATATTATCCCAGCGTTAACCCTTCATGAAAATTTGCCTGAAGGAAGGGTGAGGAATAAAAGAAAGGTTATTAGTTCCAAAAAAAGATAAAACCGAAAGAACTGTAAAATCTGGTGAAGAAGATAGGCTATTTGCAGGTTTTGTACCTACATGGGGGGTTATTGAATTAATGTACAAATTAAACTTGTTAGGAGATATACTAGATGAAGCCTTTAATAATACAGGAGATGCTATTCAAAAATTGTCTGCAGAACAGGAACAAGCTTCAGCTATGATTATGCAAAATAGGTTTGCCCTAGATTATTTGTTGGCCTCCGAAGGTGGTGTTTGTGCACTAATAAAAACAAGATGTTGTTTAAAGATAGATAATGTTACTGGTCAGATTCATACAGATGTAGATAAATTGCATGAAGTACAAATTAAACTTAGAGAAGTTCACGATACTTCTTCGGGAGGTTTAAATTGGGGTTTTGACTGGAGTTTTGGTTTAACTAATTGGTTGGGAACAATGGGAAAACGTATTCTCATTGGAGTTATTTTAGTAGTATTGATGCTTGTCTTTATATATGTTGCAGTGAATGTCCTAAAGTGTTCGTGCCGATTAATCCTCAAGAGCTGTTCACCTTCATCTCCCCTGGCACAATTTCGAATGTTGAAATGTCTCCTATCCGGTCACAACTCATACCGACTTGGAATACAGACATGCTTTCTCGTGAAGATATTGATCGTGTGCGCATCTATATGGAAAGTCCTGCAAGTGCTGTTTAAAATCACTAGCTCACTGAATGACCTTCGCTAAACATGGAAGTGTTGCACGGAGCTTTTTGTGGTGAAAGTCCTAGCACCAAAGGGAGGACTGTGAACATATGTAACCTGCTACTGACATGCTGTCAGCCATTTTGCTGTTTATTCATCATCTTAAAATATAATCAAAGAAGAATATTTACTCTAAGAAATAAGAAGAAACTAATGGATGTCTGGACTGTTTTTTGGATTGCAAAAGGAAAGGTTATTTTGAAAGCGTGTCTTGTCAGATGTTGCCAGGGGGGGAAAGGTGAAATGTGTGCTTAAGTTGTGAAAGAGGAAGTCTTATATGTGTTAACTTTTATCATAGACAAGCGATATTTTAGCGAAGTAAGACGCATGACTGTGGTCAAGTCATCTGTTAGAAAGATCATGGGATGCTTAAACTTTTGAACCTTAAATTTGTCAGTTATGCTAGAATTTAGCCAATAGGAAATAAGACCATATTTGGAGTTCTGATTCAAGCTAAACGAAAGGCCGGTTCCGGGTCATATGTATAAAATATGAGGAATTGTAACATGATGTTAGATTGCTTCTTGCCAATCTCCATGAGATATCTCTGTGTATTGTAATGGTCAATTAAACGCTTTTTATTGAACCTGGTAATATTTTTGTCTACTACCACACCCCTTTACTCAGATATTGAGGTTAGGACTGTATCAAATATTCTATACTCTGCCTTTGGGTTTTTACACCCAAGATGCATTATTTTGCACGTATCTACATTAAATGTCAGTTGCCACAGCTCTGACCATTTTTCTAGTTTACCTAAATAATTTGCCATTTGGCCGGGTTAAAACTGGGTATGATTGGAGGAGAATATTCTCCACCTTCAGCTAATCCTGTTATAACCATCCCGTGTTTCCTACCATCACCTCTAAGCATTTTAGCATCCATTGTGTTATTGAGACAGGGATGTCTCACTGGGTTTTAATAATAACCTCCAGGCACCATAACAACTTTATCAGAATTAAGTTGTTGTAGTACAAGGACGTCCCTGGCGCCAGCTTATCTTCAGGGTTAAACTGTTCATGAATGGTTTAACAGAAAAATCTTCTCTCCAGCGTCATTTAAGCCTTGCCTTTGTCCTTTCTACAAACATTTTTTTTTATTCCTACATTTTCATCTAAAAATTCCTTTTCAATACCACAGAATGCAGTTTTGATATTATAAAAACCAATTAAGAAAACTTAAAAATCAGGGGTGGGGCCGGACCACCATGCTGGCAGGCCGCATGTCAGAATGTCTCCAGTCGTTTCTGATTTTTAATTGACTATATATACATTATCTATCTACCTTAAACCAGAAAACTACAGCATACTACCCTGGGGACTACCAGTGCTGTAGATCTGCCCTCCAACGGGAGATTAAGGAGTGTGTAATACCTGGAATTACAGCCTATCAGGGTGGGGAGTGAAGCTGAAGGAACTGCTTTGCTCTCCGACCCGATGGCTGCACATCGACACCTCACTCCATTGTATGGCCACTCCCACACCCCCTGGACCAGTGGAGGTTATTACGGCCCAAACTGGAGGGCTCGGAAGTCACTCAGAAGCTGTTCATTAGCAACACCTGCTGTGAGTGCAAGTGTGACATGCATTTAAGATGACCGCTGCTTGGACCCAAACAAGATTTGACAACGTTAAGCCCTCAACAAGGCATGTGCCAACCTAAATTCTTCTTCCTTGTTCATGAAGTCCAAATGCCGCTGGGCACCTGGCACTTGAATCTGGCTTCCACAGCTACTTTCCCAGGTCTCGAGCAAAGTGAAAAGGAACTCCCTATCATAGTCCTACGCCTTGTAGGGAATACTGCCAGCAAGTGTAATGTTATTAGTGCCTCTCCGGGGACACCGATTACAGTTGCCTGTCAAACCGTATCTGAGGGCAAAGATGCAGGCTGGGGCTGGTGACATGGTACTGGCTGGAATTTGATGACCCAGAGGCTAGTGTGAGCTCAGGGACTATCTCATGGGGCCAGGATGCTTAGCGTAGTCTTACCTCTCCTAATGTTTAGTCCTTCAGTGACTTGCAACATTGCTAATCGTGAAGATTCAGTGGCTTTTTGAACTCGTATTTTTTCTTATCATTTACAAAATATAAAATGTTTTCCATATTTTAAATTGTTTCTGTTCAAACTTTTAATTTGCTATAAACAAGTGTGATTGACAAAAGCAATCTGATATTGCAGTGATAATCAGATTACATAAATAAAAATTTAATTGAAATTAAAATAGTGATTATCATCACAAAAAGAGTCGAGCAGTTAAATACAGGAGTAACATTATAAGCAAGTGGACAGGCGAAAAAATGAATAATTCTTGTAAAGCAGACATTTTGTCTACCCATATTCATTAATACCATAAATTAGCCAGATGATGTACAGTGACATTTATAAATTTCTATATGTTAATCTAATTTGATAAAATTTTATAGAATACTAAATTCTCAAACAGAAACATCAAAATGCATCTAAAATTAAGTTGGTGTTTTCAGCCCTGCAAAATCTGTTGGCGCTTTATAAATAGTAATAATAAAAATAAAAATAATAACCAGCAAAAGATATCTTAGAATGTTTTAGGACTTGTCCGCTACTGAAAATGAATTGTTTAAAAAAAATGTTAAAAAAAAAATTCACCTCTTCTCTTAAATGTGAGGTTTATTTACTAAACACTGGGTTATAGTGGACTTCAACATTTGTGCTTAAGATTTGCAATTATGATTTAATATCTTAAATAAAGACAAAGGAGTTTTATTATAAGATAGGCTAGATGGAGAATCTTTAAGTTTATTTACTGGTATGTAGGGGCTGATAATAATTTGCTGGCTTTAGACCAAGTGGCAAACAGGGTTTCTGTGTCTAGAGTAAGCTATGTTCTAGGCCCAAGGATAATGGTTTAAACTCTACAATATGTATTATCTGTGCATAATGTTTGTTAACAGAGTTATTTTTGGTTTGTGAGAGTACCATGGAAGTATCATGAGTGTATCCGGTCCGAGTTCATAAAGTACAGACATATGGAGTGGAGAAAGCTTTGAGATTGGAGATATGCATAGAAGGGTATAGTGAGGGATATGTAATTGTCCCTAAGAAAGGTATAAGGAATGATCCTGCAACTTTGGGTGCAAAGGCAATAACTAATGTATTATAAATTCCCCCTGATCAATTAAATATTTTTGTAGGCATTTTTTTTTTTTTCAGTACAGTTATGCAAAATGATATAAAGATTAAATGAATGTCCCTCTGATACAATTGTACTTTTAGTAATGCACTAATTTTCACCAGGACCATTTGACCTAAATTATGCTCCTTATAATGCACTCATCATTAACAAATAGCCTATTGAAATTACCTGCAATTTGTATATATTGGTAGCCAGTAAGCTACTGGATGATATTTACATGTTTGTGAAAAACGAATTTCGAACTTACTTTAAAATGTTTGTTATCCTGGTTCTTGGTAGTTCAAATCGGAAATAAATACGAAACGCTCTTATCATTATTAGAGGACGTGGAATCCGCAGCATTCCCCAAGGAGACATCTGGTCAACTATATCTGCAATTTCAAACACCTGGCAGTAGGAAAACAAAAATTACATTTGTCTCAGTAGCTTTATTCATGTTTTTTTTTTTTACGAATGAATTAATTTTGTACTAAAATATTTGATTCCTTTGTCAATTGTCTCCAAGTTTATTAATAGACTCTTATGGTTTTATAATTGACAGCATATAATATTCACCTTCATGAGCTCTGCCTTTTAAAAAACTTGTCCTCAGATACAAAATGTTAGCAGAACAATGACAGCATCATGTTAAATAGAGTCAGTTGTAGTGGTTATGGTTCTCATTTAATTGCTAATGAAGATTTTTCATTTCAGTACTAAAAATATAAATTTTTGGATGGCATATTTGGATGGCACTGATTGACTATCAACACCTCTCAAACATGGGCAACATTGATCCTGCTAATGTGGAAGTGTGGTAGAAGCAATGTTAAAAGTACATTGAGTCCCTCTAATTTCTGTTAATCCGCTAGAACAGCTTAACCCATAAATGTGGAACAGTACCTGTAGCCTTCTAATAACATAACTACTACAGTGGTTTGTAGTGCGTATGGTGCTTAGCCTTCTCTTTTAATTAAATGGAACACTGAAATACTGATTTTAACAGCAAAAATAGTATCTCTTTCTCCAGTACAAATCCAAAGTAACTGCTTTATAATGTAAATATTCTCAAAACAGTCTGCTAACTATATTTCATTTTTGCAGAAAAAAAAACCCAGCAGTCTTGAAATAATGCAAGTGTTTACATTTAAAGTCATACTTTCTAAATGTCATGATATGAAGTTTAGACAGGTAATGAGGGCAAAAGTAAAAGTAGAAATTGATGCTTTACATAAAGATAAGGATGCTGTGATTAAAAGTCATTTTATAAAGCAGACATTATGCCTCACCATATTCATTAATATCATCAGTTAGCTAGAGGAAGTACAATGACATTTATAAATGTCTGTATGTCAATTTAAACTGATGAAATTTCATAGAATTCTTTAAACACCCACATCAACATGCACCTAAAATTAAATTGGTATTTTCATAAAAAGCAAAAGATATCTCATAACATTCCCGGTCTTTCTACTACACCGAAAGTTGGTAAAATAGGAAAGGTTTGCCTCTTTTTTGGAATGTAAGATTTATTTATTAAACGCTGGGTTACAGTGCAAACCTGTTTTTACCTCAGACTTGCAATTTGGAATTACATTTCCTATAATTTGATGCCAAACCTGTTATAGAGAGTTCTCTAATTATTTGTAAATTGTCACTCTAAGCACTATAACTACTTCATTTTATAAAAGTATGCAAAGATTCTGCACCAGCACTACGCTATGTGAAGGGCCGCCACTCTAAGTTGTCAGGTAGTCAGTTGCCGTACTGTCATCCTGTCTAGAAAGATCACTTGTGTGCAACTTTTGAGTCCGGCATCAGCACATAGCACACACACCATGCTAACCATAGACAAAGTGGACAGGCTGCAAAGTTTCTCACTGTGGCTATTACAAAGCCAGTGTTAGTTCCCTGCTAAAACTGGTAGCAAAGACAGATTGATGCATCCAGACGGCCCACGCTAGACTATAAATCGTATTATGCTCATTGATAATCTGGTCAGGTAAAATTACTTTTAGGCATATAATAAGGTCCAGGTAATATTGTGCTCAGGTATTAATCCATTCAATTCCTCACTTGTTATAGTAGAATCCATATAGAATTTTCTAGATTGTGCGGGTATTTTACTTTCATGGCGTACTTTCCTAGAACTTTCCAGGGTTTAAAACGTATGGCTAATGCAAGAGTTTTTCCTTGGAGTGATTACCAATACAACACTGTAGTTATGAAGAACAAATACACTCAATTTTTATTTGGTTTACAATATTCTTAATGAATGCGGCTGTATACGTTATACATACACATCATTTGTGATATAACATTACCTGCAAAACTAACGATACCCAAAGACAAAACACCATGAATCCATCAAATACACACCACCGGTCCTTTACATATGAAGTGTCACCCTACAAGAGAAAATACAGTTCTTTAGTAAGTTTAGAAGAATAAAGTGCATTATTTCATGTTAATCTCCACCTATTCCCCAACCAACTTCTCATAAACAAGATAACTATGGCTTATCAGCATGGATGACCTTGATTCCCACGTAGGTCATTTATCCACTACAGTATGGAGCTAGAGTTCAAACATGAGCTATCCAGCCTACATTTTTAAAATAATTGGTCCTCATGGTTTGATCCCTCTTGGTACCTTTTAAGCAACATTTTGCACATTGAAAATAATTTGTAGGTTGTGTTAAATGAAGTATTAACTGTTCTTTTCCAGTACAAATGTTTAGTGCAATTATGCAATACAATCTATTCTCCAACTATAAGCACCTCTTTAATTTACATTAACATTAATGGCACTTGTTTGTACCATACTTTTTGCAGAGGTTTTAAAGGAGAGATTCATTAAATGACCCACTTAGCACAAATTGCTCACGTATTTTTGCCTGAATTGGTTACACAAATAGTATGTGTATGGTGTTTTGGACAATATATATGAAGAAGAACCCCCTTAAAGGTCCAACAATTATGATAGCATAGTAGTTTTGTAGTAGTACATGCATGCATTTAATTATGCATTTTTTCATTGGGGGTTTATATCAAAACAGTTTGCAAAATCTGCAGATCTCTTGTCTGCAGCCTTTGCAAGCCCTCCCCTTCTTCCACAGACCTTGTTTGGCTTTTAAATCACAGGCCCAATGCAAGGTAGGTGCTCGGGGCAACTGCCCTCCTCTTGAGTCTAGCTCAACTGAGCTAACCAAAACAGGAAGTAACAGGTCCTGCTGTCTGATTGACAGCCAGGAGCATGCAACAAGGTTAATGTATAAAAGTGTCAATTCTTATTTCAATTATGTAAAATGAGACAAGGAGGAAACACTCTTCAAACATAAAGCACTTTAGAAGCTCTTTTCCTTAGGTGTTTGGAGTGTTCCTTTAAGGATAATCTTAAAGAGACACTGTCCAAATACAATACAAATTTTAAAGAAACAACTATTTAGAATACATACCACCAATAACAATATGTATGAATTTAATTATGCACTTTTTCAGTGGGGGTATATCTAAAAACAGCTTGTAAAAATGGCAGATCTCTTGTATGCAGTCTTTGCAAGACCTCCCCTTTTTCCCCATCCCAGACCTTCTGTGGCTGTCTAATCACAGACGTTCCAATTCAGCTTAGCTAGAATGGCAGGTGCTCTGAGCAATTGCCTGCATCTTGAGTTTAGCTCTACTGAGCTAAACAAACCAGCACGTAACAATGTCAGTTGTCTGCTTGACAGCCAGAGGTATAACAAGGTTTAATTATAAAAGTGGGGGGCGCGGTCTCGGCGCGAACCAAGATGGACGCGTAAAGGGAGAGCTCCGCTCCACCGGACCCTACTACAGCTATAACGGCACGCAACCGACAGCTAAATGGGCCGTAACAAACGACCGGAGCAGCCCCAGACCCCGAAAATCCCTCAACAAGGCCCCCTGGACGGATTCCTACACCCACAACCCGGCGCAAGCGAGGAACCAGTAGGCCCCAAGATGGCGCCGCCATCCCCGTCGGGGACGGAGAGCACAGCCCTCGATCGAATTGAAGAGAGGCTGCGCAGTCTCACAGCCTCCATGGCCACAAAAGATGACCTCAAAACACTCACCACCACCATACAGGACACCCTCAGAGCAGAGATGGCTGGGATCAGAGCTGAGGTAACTGCACACGCTGGCCGCATCACACTACAGGAAGAGACCACTGAGGCCCTTACAACTCGTGTGGCAACTGCAGACACTGCAATAGCCCGCCAGGGTACAATGCTTCTCTCTATGAGAAGACACCTTGAGGACCTGGATAACAGGGGTCGGAGGTGCAACATTCGCATTAGGGGCATCCCAGAGGCAGAAGGGCCACCAGAAGATGTGGTGGAAATACTTACTGAACTTTTTCAGTCCATCCTGCAACCAACCTCACCGCAGCACATAGAATTTGAAAGGGCACACAGAACCATGCGGCCCAGAACCCTGGAGGATGGGCCGAGAGATCTAATATGTTGCCTGCACTCTTTCCCAGTAAAAGACACAATTATGAGAAAAGCACGAGAAAGACCAACCTGGCCCTACAGAGGCTCCCAAGTAGCATTATACAATGACCTATCCCCAATCACACTAGAGGCTCGGCGAGCCCTCCGCCCCATGACGACCGCACTACGGGAACGAGACATCACCTATAAATGGGGGTTCCCTTTCGCATTGCTGGCCAGGTATCAAAATGGCTGGATCTCATTACGCTGGCCCGAGGAAGTTCCGCGATTCATGGAAGAACTAGGCCTTCCAGCACCGACAGTCCACAACTGGATCCTGGGAACATCGGCCCCAACCCAGAGGCCGCAAAGAGGGCCCAGGCGGAGAGGAACACGGTCCCCCTCTGTTCAACCGGCCAGACGGCGCAGAAACCCGACTTCCCCGGAAGAGTGAGTGCAGACCCGTCTAACCCGTTAAACACCTCTTAACATCCCGAGTCACGTGGCCCCTTAACAAGCACCTAAAAACCACCTTCCGAAGAAAGTCACTTCGATCCCTATTAACAGAGCAGAGCTACTAACTTAGACTGGGACAATTGCAGGTATGCCGGGACTATACACAAAGGGCTTTGGGTGGAGGGTTCAAGGGAACATGGGTCCACCCTGGGTGATCATGCTTCCACCAAAGTGCACCTCTCAGGCTTACCCCCTTCCCCTTAGTGCAATGACTGCCACCTCTTCACGGAGACCTGGGTACACATATTTGGTACGGGGGTGCTTCGGGTTCAGGCAGGGACGCATACCATAACGAATTGGGCACTAACCCTCCTCCCGGAATCCCCAACACTCATGCCGCCGAATGAAGGCGCAAGACTCACCAGCATAATACAGAGCAAGTAGACTTTGGATGAGGAAACGCGTTGAATACCGTTCCCAGCACCCATCACAATGTTGAATCCTAAGCTATGTATGTGACCAGGGGGAGGGGGTTGACAGAAGAGAAGGGTGTGCAAAACGATTCACCTCATCACACATGCCTTGCTGACGTATGACTGGTACCACCGACTATCACGCTGATCAAAAAGGGCCCTTACGGCTACACATAGAGGGAAATACGGGGTGACGAGGGCCACTGACCCGGGAAATCCCACAACCCAACACTCGGGGGGGACCTCCCTCCACCCCACACAGGACAGCAGCCAAATGGGGAACATGGGGACTCACATTGAGGCTGGGCAACTGCTGACGGTTAAGGGGTCTTCTGGGGGACATCGGGTGATGTTAATGAAGCAATGTTGAAATGTTGAAACCTTTTTATGTTATACTATGTTATGTTGTTTACACTATGTACCTAAGACATGGATACTCTCCTCGTTACGTACCCCCCCTACAATGATCAGATATTAAGATAGAGAGACACAGACAGAGAACACTCAGGGGAGTGGATAGTCTCCTACTACCGAGAAGACGGACAGAGTAGACCAACGACTACTAAGTATGCATACTTGGCCTATGTTTTCACAATAGCGTTGTCACTGGTACAACCACCACGCACACCCACCCCACTACTCCACATTATAGAGTAGAGCACAATACCCCCGAGAGTAGTGGATCAGGACCACCTCGGGCACAGGAGGGTGCACACCGTCCCAGGGGGCACACAGACAAGGCTAGGGACATTAATGCGAGGGGAGGGACACTGAAACCAACAATTCTGGGGACACCGCCTCGACCATAGTGATACAAACTTAAACCCACAAGACACGCCCCGCAAATACAGGAGAATTAGCTTTACACGACACTACCAAAAGAGGGTCCGGTGGGGTAGACGACTCCACTCTTGAGTTAACTACCTTCTTGGGCGGAGCCTGACTTGCGTTTCCCCACATACTTACTCGTGCTAAGAGTAGTGCAGACAGGCTATAGGCGCTCTCGACCTCTGGGCAGGTACCGAGGCGAGACCCCCCTCTAGTGCTGTCTGCAGCACGAGACCTACAACCTCTATTTCCCCGTACGGGATTGGAATTCGGGTTCACCCGACCCACAGACCAAAACTACACTCCGGACACACCTCTTTCTATCGTTACTATAGGTCTCGTTCGGTCCCGGCCCAGGGTGCCCCGGGCTTGGGTTCCCGTCTTGGGGAACTAAAATACTACCTTTTCACCCTTCCCTTCCCCCTTTTTTTTTTTCTTTCTTTCTCTCTCCTCCTCTTCTTCTTTTTCTTTCCCCCCTCCCCTTCTCCTTTCTTATACGAATCGGACTTAAGGGAACACCTCGCTTGTACCGCGAGAATGGCATACCGAAATACACCCCTGAGGATCCTCACCCAGAACTGCAGAGGCCTCAATATCCCTGAGCGTAGGACTCACCTACTGAGGGAGCTGAAGCAAAAACATATAGCAGTGGCCCTGATCCAGGAAACCCACTTCAAGGAAGGCGCGGCACCTAAGCTACAAAACAAACACTACCCGAACAACTATTTCTCTAATCACTCGACGTCACATAAAGCGGGCACAGCCATACTCTTAGCAGCCGAGCTTGAATTCAAAGAATTAGAGAGATCACAAGACTCACACGGACGGTATCTCTTCCTGAAAGGAATCATAGCCGACAAGATATACACCCTGGCAAACATCTACGTCCCCAACCGAAGACAGGCTTCCTTCCTCCGAAATACGCTGCATATATTAGAAGAATTCACTGACGGCATACTAATCGTCGGAGGGGATTTTAACGTACCTCTAGACCCAATATTGGACTCCTCATCGGGACATAGTAGTATTTCACAAAACAACATCCGATCGATCCGAAAATCGCTGGAAGAACTGAGGCTGGTGGACGGCTGGAGAATACTCAACCCAACGGTAAAAGATTATACTTACTACTCCGCTCTTCACAACCGATACTCTCGCATAGACTACCTCTTCATAACACAAGAAGGACTCGCTCGCTTACTCAAAGCGGATATCGACCCGTCTACATGGTCGGACCATGGCTCGGTCAAGCTAGAGATGGAATCCCCCATGTTTCGCCCAACTACGTGGACGTGGAGACTTAATGAAGCTCTGCTACTTGATCCAGCCACCAAAGAACAAATAACCAAAGAGCTAGAACAATACTTCAGAGACAACGACACACCAGAGGTCTCCCCGATAACCATATGGGAAGCGCATAAGAGCGTCATTCGCGGAACACTCATCCGCATTGCCTCGCAAAAACGGAAAGCGAATATGATCGAGATGACTAACCTATATCAAAAGATCTCAAAGCTGGAAAGTCAACACAAAAGATCCCAACTACATGAAACATACGGGGAACTGATGGAACATAGAAGGGCACTCAAGAGACTCATCACAAAAAAACATCTTCGAAATCTCCAACGCACGAAGGGTTTCTACTATGCGCACGCCAATAAAGGGGGGAAATACCTGGCCAGATTATTAAAAGGCCCAACGCCTCGTAGACAAATACGCAAACTTCGCCTCTCCTCAGGAGAAATGACCCCCTACCCACAAAAAATCGCCGATGAGTTTAGGACCTACTATGAAACCCTTTACAACCTGAACCCACCCATGGGGACGACGAGCGACGATAGAAGAGCTACTCAGATACGAGACTACCTTTCTGACACGATTGTCACAACGATTAACCAGGAATCAGCTTCGGCACTCGACATGCCAATCAGCACGGAAGAGCTTGCGGCTGCGCTGAAAACGTCCAAATCGGGCAGGGCACCTGGACCAGATGGTTTTTCAACTGGATACTATAAGACCTTCCCAGATCTCCTGATACCATGGCTAACTAAAGCGATCAATGCGGTGGGTGACGGAGGGCACCTGGGCGCGGAATCCTTAGCCGCGACCATCACGGTCTTGCTCAAGCCAGGAAAAGACCCATTGCTTTGCGGCAGCTACCGTCCCATTTCGCTACTCAATGTAGACGCCAAACTAACCACGAAAGTCATAGCTAGCAGGCTCAACAACTTTCTTCCAGAATTGATACACGCTGACCAGACAGGCTTCATCCCGGGCAGAGAGGCCAGAGATAGCACCCTGCGACTGTTCTCAATCCAACAATACGCAAGAAAGACAAAAACTAAAATGCTATTACTATCCACGGACGCGGAGAAAGCGTTTGATAGAGTTGACTGGTCGTACATGATGGCCACCTTACAACATATGGGATGCGGACAGAGACTACTCGCATGGGTATCAGCCTTCTATAGCAAACCGCACGCAAATGTGAGAGTAAACGGAGCCACGACAGCGGACTTTACAATAAACAATGGTACCCGTCAAGGTTGCCCACTGTCTCCACTTTTGTTCGCTATGACCCTAGAACCACTGCTCCAGAAGATACGACTGAACCCAAACATTCAAGGATACGACTGGCGTGGAACACACCATAAAGTGGCTGCGTACGCGGATGACCTCCTATTCTTTATACAACACCCTAGGACAACTTTACCATGCCTCCTTTCCGAATTCGACAATTTCGGGAAAATCTCGGGCTTCAAACTCAATCTCTCAAAGTGCGAGGTCCTGAACATTACGATCCCCACGGAAGAATACATATCCCTGGACTCGCTATTTGCTTTTCACTGGTGTTACGGCCGGATGAAGTATCTGGGCATCTGGGTGACCACAGACCCAGAAGACATATACCGTCTCAATTTTGTCCCCCTTCTGAAAACAATTCTAGCGGACTTAGCTAGATGGTCGTACCCACATGTAACCTGGCATGGACGAGTCGCGATCCTCAAGATGAACATATTGCCGAGAATTCTATACCTTATGCAAACGATTCCACTAACCATCCCAAGGACCTTCTTCTCCACCCTGAAAACAGCGATAATAAAATTTGTATGGCGAGGGGAACGCTCTCGAATTCGACATGACATACTCTGCCGCCCAAGGAACCATGGTGGACTAGCCTTACCAGATGTCAAAAAATATCACCAAGCTACAGTAATGCAACGGATACTGGATTGGCACCAGGAACCTACAACGAAACAATGGGTAGAACTCGATAAAGGCCTTATCGGACCAACACTGGAAATGAGGATATGGGGAACGACGAGAGACCCGATGGCCCACAACAATGAGGGGCTGATAACGCAAACAATCGCCGGTTGGAGATCGCTAAGAGACCAGAGCTATATATCGCCCACCCCTAGCCCGATGATTCCACTCACCCATAACGCGGCCTTGGGAGGTGGACTCCCGCCCGGCGCATGGCCCATCCCAAGCGAGAGGAACTATATCCCCATATATAAAGCCCTCGAAGGTGGCAGAATCCGGGATCTAACTGCATTACTAGGGGATGGTCCAAGGACCCCCCTCACGGTACTCAGATACCTACAGTTGAAACACTACCATGATACAATGCCACATAAAGAACGCTTACACAGAGACCTCACCTGGTTCGAGGGCCTCTGTGACAATGGCAGCACACTTGACCATGCTATATCAGCCCTCTACCAACACCTACTTATCGGAGACACGACCCAGGCTTCTACCTTCCGTCGCCAATGGGAAGGACAACTTCAAAAGACGCTCACACCTTCACAATGGGATTTGGCATTACTATGGCAACAAAAAAGCTCTATGAGCTCCTATTACCAAGAGGTGAATTACAAACTACTATCCCTCTGGTATAGAACGCCATCCCTCCTACACCAGATCTTCCCGTCAACCTCCCCGATGTGCTGGAGATGCCAGACAGAACGTGGCACTTTGATACATATATGGTGGGAATGCAGGAACATTACCCCATACTGGGCAATGATTAAGGACACTGTGACTGACGTTCTGGGCGATGTCCCGGAATGGAACGCAGAATTAGCCCTACTACACATAACGACACAATCGATCCGGACGTATAAAAGATCTATACTACGTCACTTACTAAACGCGGCCAAAGCTAACATACCGGCACACTGGAAGACAAGTGATGTACCAACTAAAGAAGAATGGATCCGCAGAGTAGAAGACATTCATGGAGCGGAAGAAATACACGCTTCTCTGACGGGCCGAGCAATAAAACACACAGAACTGTGGCTCCCATGGTTCCTATATATTACCCGCTACAGACAGGCAGGTAACGCCCCCGAACCCACTGACGGGGCAACATCAGATGCGGATCCCACAAGACACAGTCCACCCCCCCCTTAGCCATATCTCCCTCCCCCCCTCCTTTTTTTCTTTTTTTTTCTTTTTTTTTTTCTTTCTCCCTCTCTCTCTTACTTTCCTCTTCTTCTTCTTTTCTTCCTCTCTCTTCTTACCTCTCTTTCTTTCTTCCGTTTCGCTGGACGGGCCCCGGGACCGGGGAATCGGGATCGGGATCGGAGAGATACATTACGATAAAAACAAAGAGGGCAAAAAAGGGAAGGGTAAGAGAAAAAGGAAAATCTATCGACCTCTGAAACTCTAAGGAGAGGAACACCCATTCCTGACGGGATCTGAGGAGTGCTCAGACTCCCTAGGGAAACGCGAGTCAAACCATGCCTTGCTAAATGTTCCGGTATCAAAATGTTTAAAGTAGAGCTTACGCTCATATAGCAGACACGCAACATCTTAACTCCACTACAATCACACATTACTAGGTCTACGACACACACATTACTAACGACACCAAGGCATCACGCATGGGAAATTTCACGAACTATAGACTCTGCTACAAGTAGTAATGACAACACCCCTAGCCATATAAGATAACGCACTAGAAAGGGGGACACGTATTATACAATCCACTAAACTTACTCTCATGGCACGCTAAAGACCCGCATACACATCTGGAACGCAAAGACCCGTTAGTCTCACCGTTATATCTCCCTACCTTACACATCTCACTAACTCGCACTTAGAGACACCCACATATTCTATCACCTGACATAACGAGGCGAAGTAATAAAGTCAAATGGAAGGAGGTGGGGAGATGGAACTACAGAGTGAGAGGAATGAGGGAAACGAAACCTTTACGTTACAAAAACAGTACAGGACCTCTCCTTCCGACCTGCATATTTTGGCGTACTGCACGATGTCAAATATTATGCATCATTACGACTGTTATTTCACGCTGTCACATAACGAAAAAGACTTACAAAAAATAAAATAAATAAAAAGTAATGAAACTCATGGGGAAATACGGACGAGAACCCCGACATAATGTGATTAACATCCTCAAATTGATGCTATGTTGGAGACCTGCGTGTCTTAACTTGTAAAGCTTGTTGAAGCATGTACTGCTTATTTGAACCACTTATCAATAAAAACAGATTTATAAAAAAAAAAATAATTATAAAAGTGCTAATTTGTACTGAACTCATTACTTATAAAAGATTTTTTTTTTAAATTTAAGAAAGTTAACACCTTGCACCATAGTAAAAATCCAGAAAAGTCACCCTGAATATGTCAGAATTGTACAAGCATTACTTTTTTATTAAAAGACAACTAAAGGCACCTGGACCACTTAATCTCAGTAAATTGGTCTAGGTGCAGTGGCCCTTTTGTTTTAACCCTCAACCTAAAATATTGCTTGTTTTGATTAAAAGAGTAACCACTCCTATAGTCACTGTCTTCCCGACAGCCGCAAGAGACACTTGCATTGCAAAGATATTTACTTGGTTGTATGATGTTCAAAGTACGTGAGGACGTCGAACATCATCTAACACAGCTCACAGGGAAGCATTGGAATCAATGCTTACCTATGAGAAGCATTTAATTGGAGGAGCAGAACTCACAGCACAAGTGCATCTCATTGGTGAGGGGCACTGGAATTGGTGATAAATGTGGAAGCGACTGCTCCAGGATTACATCACGGAGTGAGTATAGGTGCTAGAAAAAAATAAAAGTCATTTTAAAAGTAACTAGAGTAAAATTATTTTTCCTCTAATTTTCTTTTTTTTCAGGTCAAAGGGGGTGCTGAATCTAAATATGGATTAGAACACTATAGCATTAGGAATATTCCTAATGATGTATTGTTCCATTAAGGAGAGATAGATACTTGGTTGTCATAAAGACAAGATGAATATCAAAATGTGATATAATGCATTCTGGGCTACTAGAACACTGAGCTAAAAGGCATCACAATGCACTTGTCCAGCATATGGCAGTGAAATAAAAATAAAAATTCTTCCCAAGTCACAGCCACTGTTTTTATTAGAATGTCCTTATTTACTGAAAAAGAAAGATTTGGACAGATTAATAGTCCCTTCAATAACGATTAAAGACCATCATTTAAGAACATTAAAGACCATCACATGTACACATTTTGCTAGTGTGCTTCAGTACTGTTACACATTATCATCTAACTAATCAAACATCATTAGGACAGTGACACATTAAAAAGCAAACAAAACATCACTAATAGACAGTGAAAAAGCACAACTGATAATGATAATTACCTGTCAAAATATGTGGTTTCACTGTCAATCCACATTTTGGGTAATTGTGTTATTTATTTTACTTTCAACTAAATTGGCCTGTATTCTTTAAATTTCCTTGAATTCCCTTAAAATAAGGGATTTTATAGTCTTGGCAATTTTGAAACATTCATGCTTGTAACACATATTTTCCTTTTCCTATAATTACATTATATTTGTTTAGCCCTGTGTTTTCAAAACAAGGAAAAGAAAATGGGTTTTTAACCCTTTATAACTTCCATGTTGATCAAACAAACATTCACTAATTCTTTGGGTTGTCATCTAACCAGGGTTTAAAGAGACACTCCACTGGCCATGAACAAAATAAATAAAAAATTTTAGTAGATTTACCCAAAATTACAAAAGGATTTTTTTTTCCCCCATTGGAGTTAAATTTAAAAACAGCTTGCAAAAACTACAGATTTCTTGTTTATTGTCTTTGCGAGCCCTCCTCTTCTACCCCCGCCCAGACTTCATGTGACTGTTCAATCACAGATTTCCCAATTTACATGGCAATTGCTGTCTTTTGAGTTCAGTGCATCAAAGCTAACCGAACCAGGAAGTAACAGGACCTGTTGTCTGCTTGAAAAGCCAGGGGGGTGTAACCAGTATAATTTATAAATTTTTAATTTTCTATTGAAATCTGCACTTTTTGCAAAATGAAAACAAGAGCACACACTCTGCAAACATAAAGCTTTTCAGCAAGCTAACATGTTTTATGGGTCCAGAATGTCTCTTTAAGCAATAAGGTTAATGTTATATTAGCTAAGCTGTACATGCCAAGGTCTATCTGAGTATACAGCTTACAAGTTCAGTTAAAAGGGCACTGCGGGCGCTATAACCATTTAATCTGATTGAATTTGTTATAGTACCTGGAGTTCTCAGGTGCTCTCCCTCCATTAAGTGTTAAACCATTTTCGAGCAGTTTAACACTGAATGAGGCTCCCAGGCCAACTACATCACGGTTCCCACTGGAGCTATGGCTAAGGCAAATATTACACACTTCCTTCTAGCAATACCAATTTATACCAGCAATAGACGCTGTTATAGGCGGTAAGCAGTCAGGTGAAACTTGCAGCACGAGGAAGGAAGGGGGGGAGAGGCTTCTGGGGAGTCTTATTTAAAAACAGTTAAGAATGAACAGAAGGATGGACCTAGGCGACTACAGACACTATAAGCACTTCAAGGAGATGAATTAGTTATAGTGCTTACAGTGTCTTAAAATAAAATATGGTGAGAATTAAAAAAAGTAAGAGTAGTTTTCTAGTAATTCCAAGCTAACATTTTTGAAGGCTTACATAGATTTTATTTTAACAGTTGAAGTAAAACTAAACAGTTTAGCAAATGTAATTGTTCACTCTTAATTATGCACCCAAACAGGAACAAAATTATATGTTATTTCAAAACATGGGGTGAATTTGTAATCCTAAAAGAATCTCTTTGCCACGCAAGTTCTGCGTCCTCTTACCATTGCTTTAAATAGCATGCTAGTTTTAATTTTCTAGATGTTTTTTCCCTTTTTTTCCTTTTAACGTGTTGGCTCATGCAATAAAATTATAGAGGAAGCTTACATCTAAATTAAAATGCATCAATGTGTTGTATTAATTTTTAACATTGTTAAAATGTTCGCTCTGGTTGTGAGCATTTAAAGCTTGCATCTGTAATATAAGAAATTATTTTGAGATGGCATCCTGGGTTTTGCATTATGTGCAGTACATTTGTATGTATCCTAACATGTAATTGTACTCCTGGGAAACCAGGTTATACATAGAAAATGCTTCTACCCTAAATTGTTTCTCAGTCGTAACCTTAGTTTATGCATTATAAGTGACAGCTTGAGGCACTAACCATGTAAGTAGAAATAATCACTTCTGAAGACATTAAATATGGTATTTTATGCTATCTAACACTCCAGCAATACTCTGAAATATGTCGGTTCGAAAGCCCAGTTTCCATTAGTATCTGAAATCAAGCTGCAAATCTATTCCAGGGGATTAGTGTGGTTGCCAAATATCACACAAGCTTTAAGAACTGTGATAGTGTTCAGTCTGTACTATTAAAACTCTAACTATTTTTTAATTGTTAGATATAATTTATTTTAGTTAAAAGTTCAATTTATAGCTGCTAATATACAGTGTTAAGAAATTATATATGTGCTTTAACGTGAACAAACGTGAACAGTGTGCGGTTTCTATAAAATATAGAAGGCATCTGTAAGTTTGAGGACCTTTATGACATCGATGACACATGTAATACTATCCACTTCATACAATAGAAACATACAATGTGACGGCAGATAAGAATCATTCGGCCCATCTAATTTGCCAAATTTTCTAAATACTCTCATTACTACTACTACATAGGGTTCTCGTAAGAGCTGGTTTCAAAATTGAAATATAATTTGCCACATCCTAAATGTTATAGTTTTCTTCTTTTTTTTTTTCGTGCAAAGATTAGTAAAGACATGCCTGAGGTACCCTGACGGCATTCATTCGGCTTGGTTTCATATACAATAGGGTAATAGATAAAGCGTGCACATTTTATATATATATTTTTATATATATATATATATAGATATATATATATATATATATATATTGAGATGTTGAACAAACATATAACAACATTCAGCTTGGTCAAGTAGTTAGCGTGATATAGCTTAATAGTAGTAAACTGCTTATTTTCTATGGGTAACCTGAAGTGTGTTAGTAACTGTGATAAGCACACAAGATTGTCGTCCTTACCTATATGCTATTAATTTTTGCTCACATGTAACATGTAATGTTATCGCAGGAGAGTTTCACACCTAGGCCAGGGTATGATGCCTGGTTAGTGGGCTTGGTGTCCCCATACTGGTAGCCTATGGTTGTATAGCGGGTTGCACATTGTATGGTTATAGTGTGTTACAGGAGGTTTACATTCTCACCAAGGTAATCTACAGTATGACAGGCTCTATGTTTATCATGGACATTTCTGACAATTTATAGTACCTTGGATCAGAGGGTTATGCTAGCTGCCAGTACTATCAGTATAACACATTGTTTGCATAAATACTAGTTTAGATGGTTAGTGTCTTCGTCTTAAAGGTATATGAGAGTCCCACAACGATGGGCCAGTGGCTGCAGAGTCGGTGTGGCCCACAGTGCCCGTCTCGGTGCTGCCATCGGTGTTTGTTAGCGGCTAGCCAATTCCTTTGCTGATGCTCTGCACGGTTCATCCTGGGTGATCTGCAATGTTTTCAGAGCGACGGGAGTGAGGCGAGGCACCCCTCCAGCTCCAGGCCTTCACTAAAGCCGACATCTTCAGGCCGCTGTCTCGGGGGCTCAATAAGTCCCGGGCCTTCTCCACTCTGGGGGAACGGGAGGCAGTGGTGGACCTGCGCCGCCATCTGCAGTTTGCCCTCTGTCTATGCGGTTAATGCGTGGGGGCAGAGCCCCTCGTGGCTTCCAGCCCAGGTTGGTGTATAACTTTGGCGGCGGGAGTCACTCCCGATGGTGTACCCAAGGGAGGTTCGCTCTCACCTCTGCGCTCAGCTTCCCCCTTGTGCGATGCAGGCATCATGCAGTATTCGAGAGCTGTACAGAACCTGGAGAAGGCTTCATCCAGCCGCTGCATGAGTCGGTCCGCTTGGTTAGCAGTAGCTTGTGGTAGTGGTTCTGCAGCACCTGCCCGCATGTCCTGTGCGTCCGCCATCTTGGAGATGCAGTTATTGCTTCAATAAGCGGGAACCAGAGCTGGCAGGTAACGCAGGAGTGAATGTTATAGTTTTCTGATGTCAGCCTTAAACAATGTGCAACGTATGAGATCTACTCTGATGTCACAAACCACACTGCATGTGCCATTACTCTTCATTTCACAACATAGACACATGCGTCTATTTACCAGAATCTGAATTGTAAATAAATAAAAACCGAATGACAAAATTTAGGCTGAAATAGTCAAGCTGTCCTGATAGCTGTGTTTAGCATTTTTCCAGTTCAGTTGTTTATTCATTTAGTTTTCAGTTTGCTACAATTTACCTTTTAGTGAATAAACCCTATAATCTTCTGTGATGTCATTTATCAATTGTTAACATTTGCAGTGGAAGGCGAGTTATTTGTTGAATATCGCTTACTACTATAAAACAGTCTATTATTTCTATTGTTTCCTATTCTTTTCAATAAAAAAATAAATACACACAACCTCGTCAGAATTTATTAATTAGACCACCATAAACTACATGAATGTAATATCTTATTTTAATATTCCCAACTTGAAGCTGATTTATTGATTCAATGAATCCTTAAAATCTCAAGAATAAAATGCTCTTTTATTTTTGCTTTAGTCTTCTGATTCTACTATCTAACCTACTGTAACCACTAACCCACTTTCTTTCCATTTGCCTTCCCCCTCCCTATTATGTCCATTTTATTTATAGATCATGAATCACAACCTTTTTCTAGTCATCTATAAATTACTACCTGCAGCTAGATAACAATACGAAATTGCCAGCCTTCAACACTTCACCACCTGTAGTTCTACAATTTCGATTTAGCTCCTCCTGTCCTCTTCTTCTGCAGATAATGAAAGTGACCTACAATGTGAACTCTTTGCTTAGTGCTTGATATTTTACCCGATTGTGTTACATCTACATCAATGATTTTCTTTATTATATAAACTCACAAACAAGTATATATCCGCAAGCTAACATTGACGTTATAACTAGGTTTTCAGACCATAAAGCTTCTAATTTTACTCAAAAGTTTATGTAGGTTTTGAAACCAGAAATCTGGGTATGTCTGTGCAGGGTCACCATCATGGCGCCCGGGTCCCACATTCCCAATGTGCACAGATATATAGTGATTATCACTATATATATGTGCCCCAATGGACCTCCAGCAGCTTGTGTAGTGAAGAGGGTGCCCAGCACACGCTGTGTCAGCTTCCAGAACATCTCATCAACTGTTGTGAGTTCCCGGCTGTTAGAGTGCAGGTACAGGTTACCATGACAATGCTCTGTGCGACACGCGGACCAGGCTCGCAAGTGTTTGAGAGAGGAGCCCCCTTTTCACTACAGAGTGCCTGGCTGCCTGCACAATGCCACCAGACCACCAGAGAGGGTTTTTTTCTACCTCCCTGGCAGGAAGGGGGAAATAAAATTAATAATTTGTTTAAAAAAAAAAAAAAATCCCACATAATCTATTCTACCTCACACCCTGTACCATTAACACAGGCACTGAATTTATTACATAAACACACACTGCATTTACTATACACACTACTTTTATTACACACACTCTACATCTACTACACAAATACACTGCATCCACTACACACACACACACACACACGCCTACAGTGCATACATGTGGGTGGACTCAGGGACGGGCCCTGTGGGTGGACTCAGGGGTGGGTCCTCTGTGTAGACTCTGGGGCAGGCCCCAGGCACCCAGACCTTGGCTTCTATAAAGGGCCCAAAAATTTCTGATTGCAGTCCTGTATCTGTATCCAGAAACTATTATTAAAACTGTGGGTTATACTAGAGTTGATGCTTTGTATACCATGCATGTTACTGTTAAACTTAACGTTAAGCAATGTTATGAGGGTAGAATTCTCCTTAAATCAAGGAGAAAAAAACAGCCCCACTGAAATTACCTAAAATTAAAAATCATTATAGAGTAATAACCTTTATTAGAAATGAGCCAACTCACAAAACAAAATACATATATGTGTGGATGTGCAACCTATAGTGAAGTAATCACAAAAAACGTGCTAAATAGGAAATTAAAAAGGAATGGACACTTAGTGGTAGTCTGTAGGGCTACTAAGTATACGTTGATAGATTACAACTTATTTGAATAGACTCTAGAGACAACGTAGATAACAATGTAAAATATCCTCCTAATATATAGATACAATATAACAGATATAAGGGTTATTCCCTATTTACCTCTGAAACCCACCGCCTAACTACAGGGTAAGTATTCCTTTCCATCCATAGTTTCTTTGTTAAGCAATGTTACTCTCAGTAGAATACAAAATATTTAAAGGTCTAACTATACTTTTGTGAGGTGCAGCACTGCTGGAAAGGAGTATGTGGTCTGCACCTGTGGAAGGTGTAGACCACTTTAAGTGTTCCCTTGTGGTCCTGGCATTCAGTGAAGGAATCAGAGTATTGTTGCTGGGTTACAATAACAAAATTCTGACTCATTCAATTAGTGCTGGTCCAAAAAGAGTGTTCACTAGGATCTACACCGCTGGAGGTGGAGGTGACCCGCTCCCCCACTTTACCAGAATTTCTGTCAAAGCACCCAAGCGACCACCAGGGAATATATCCCCTTTCTCTACATTTAAGGGCAGTAAAAAATATATTATTATTTTATTTTTATTTTTTATTAAGTTTAAATATTCAAATATGTAGGAAAGCTACAATCACAGTGCAGCCTTCCCACACACATCACTAAACACACTTCTCATTCAGAGAACTGCATTCACACATCACACTCAATTCCATATACCCATCACATTAAGCCATTCTCACTCAGAAGAGCTCTGTAATATATTCATATACTCTACACTTAATATTGAGTTTTATTGCTGTGTAAATCTGTGATACACTTGAACACTATACATTAGTATGGGTTGTATTGCTTGGGAGCTTTGTAATATATATTCATGCATTTTGCAATTTACTGTCAAGGTATTTCACTAAAGTGAGAATTGTTGGTTGCTCAAAAGGAATTTCAAATAAAAACGTTTTTTTTTCATATCACTATTTAGTAGATTTACCCCCCGTGAAAGCATGCATTCATCTAATTAAGGTGCAGATCTCTTGCCTTTTGCAATCCTTCCTCTTCTTCCCAGGCTAAACCTTCTGTGGCTGTCAAATCACAGACTTTACATTGCAGCTCAATAAGAAGTCTTTGCAAGACAGGTGCTCTGGGCAATTGCTGCCTCTTGAGTTTAGCACTGCATGCGCAACTTTATTAAGGGATATTGCACGGCAAATATAAATAAACATATCAAAAATCTTTGTAAAAAGATGGGCACATTCATATTTTGGTAGCATTACTATTGGTAATGTTTTATTTAATTAAATAAAATAAATAAAACAAGCTCACTTTTACACTAGATGTAGCCCACTTAGCCTACTGTAGGGTAGATTTTGTTCACTTAGCACAGACAGTACAAATATTTTTGGAGATGTAATCAAAAACCTAGGGATTACACTTAAAGCTAAATGCACTCAATTAAATGCACTCAATTAAAAGGTATGCGTGCAGTGTCCTTGCAGTTTTAACCAAACAATGTAAAATATTGCAGTTTTATTGAGACTGCAATGTTAGCATTGTAGGGTTTAAGGGACACAAAAAACACTATTTAGTAGACATGTCCCCAATGAAAAGAGGCATGCATGTAATTATGCATTTTTTCATTGCAGGCATACCTAAAAACAGCTTGCAAAGGGTGCAGATCTCTTGTCTGCTGCCTTTACAAGCCCTCAAAAGTTTATTTTTTTTCATTCTTTCTTTTTTAACCCCTTAAGGACACATGACATGTGTGACATGTCATGATTCCATTTTATTCCAGAAGTTTGGTCCTTGAGGGGTTAAGTCAGTTTTATAATTTATTTCCTGAAAGCAACATATAATCATTAATTTTATTAGATTTAGAAAATATTCAACATTATTTTGTACAATAATACCGAGAGATATCCTTAGATTTCAATCTTTTCTACAGCAGCATCATTAAAATGAATAATTGATTTAACTGTTGGCACAAAATATATTAAAGGGCATCCCCACTTATTTATGACAGCATGAAAGTCCTTCCATTCATATCTCATTCCCTGGGGTCAATTAATTTCCGTATTTGCCATCTGTTTCTGGATTATCGTGTGTTTTGCCTGTATGGGAATTCCTTTAAAGCCTAGATTTCTATTTCATCTCTGATTTACTTTTGATCTAATATTATGTTCTGCTGTGTGTTCCTTTATCAAATTTAAATCTCACTCAGAGAGTTATGCAATATAAATACTTTCATTATAGCTAAGAACAGAGTCAGTTTCTATAAAATTATAAGAAGTCAGAGTAGAATCCACTGTTTCAGAATTAGTTTGTGTTCTTGAAGTTCTGTTCCTTATTCGGGTCATACGTATCACATCAGGCAGTTGCTGAAAGAAGCAGGTTTGCACTAATACATTTAGAATAGAAATATGCATGGAATTATGAACATCTGCAATGCCATTGGCTCTCCCAGAAATACACGACACTAAATTTTGCGTACCAACAACAATTTAAGCTTCAGCTTGCTAAAGTGCTTTAGGTATTAACAGCCTGTGCCTGCAACCCTATTTGCAAAAGTGCACTAATCCTTTATTTTATAAAAGCACACTTTTCTTGGACTAAAATCATAGCTCTCAAATCCATCTTTCAGCATCTCCTTCTCACAAACGGTTCTACTACCTCTACCTACCTCTAAGTTCTGTTCGTGTGCCTTATCTACACAGCCTCTAGTAGTAAACTAACAGATTTATTAGGTCCTCAATATTACTTGTACGCTGGTGACACACTCACCTAAGCTTCCCTACTCTACTACATGGTTTAAGAAAAAAAGGACTGCAACTCTCAATACACTCAGCCAATATTGGAGCAAGAGGAAAACAATTAAGATTTCCTATCACCTGTCTATAGTGGACATCAAGTCTCATCATGCTCCTCCAACACTGACGGGGTTATTTACCAAAGTGAGAATTCAAAGTGAATTTCAGAATTAAGGTCAAAATAGCCGAACTGGAAACATTCAACTATACTTTCAGTTTGGCTACTCTGGCCTTAAATTGGAAATTCACTTTGAAATTCTCACTTAGATGAATACCACTGACAGCAGGACACAATTACATGCAAGAAGAATCCTCACCTTGACGATTCCACGAATGTGCATCTTTGCAATCATCTCTGCTGTGTACAGAAACATCAGTAACGTGTCGAGGGCAAATGTCACATGCTGGAGAGGTGGATAATGTTCGAACGTCTTTGGGGTGTTCATACAAACAGAGATAACACTGATGATTGCACAGATTCGTAGCAAGGAATGAACCCACTGAGAAAAACAAGATTGATCATTTCAATGTGGCTCAATTATTTTCTTCATACACATGTACTGTTCATGTCTAGACAAAAATATCAAGTTGCTTTTTACCCTTCAAAAGTGCTAGAGGTCCACATTTACTTATAATCATCACCAATGTGGCTTTATTATGTTCAAAATTGCCCATTTTATTATTGTTTTGCATTAACTACTACAGTCTCCTGCAACAAAACCTAAATGTGTTGCATTTACATTTACAATATCAATGCAGTAATACAATGTTGTTAACCACTAATTAAGTATCAATGAATGTGGCTGATTGACTAATAGGATAGCAGAACCAACAACAATCTCGTTATATGCTATCATGTGCTGGCATGTCCATTAAATGCTAGAGACTCCATAGTAAATCAGTTAATAAAAACTATTCTGATAGGGTCATTCATGAAAGTGAGAATTCAAAGTGAATTAAAAGGGATTTTTTAAATTTAAGGCTAAATTAGCCAAACTGGAAGCAAAGAGAATTTTTCCAGTTCGCTACTTTCTCCTTAAATTTGAAATACACTTCGAACTAACTTTTAATTCTCACTTTAGTAAATAACCCTGTTGTTCTAAAGCCACATCAGTATGTCAGTATGTTATTTATTTATTTTCATTTTATTGGGAACAAGAGATGAGTCTGGTCTGTCTGATTCCATACTTTTAAACATACCACTGATAAATAAACTCAATTTAAGACTGACTTATTATGTACCAGCAAATAAATGTATCTAGGGGTAGACCACAAGTTGTAGTAGGTCATATTATGTCTGTACTCCACCATTCTTTATTTACTTTTATTTGGTTTGAATTGCAAAATTTTGGATTTTACCTTCTAACCCGTAATTCCCCTGTGCTGTCCCACCAGACCATCTCTAATATTTCCCTTGCCTTCATTTATTTTTTCATTCTACATCTATTTTTGTGTTTTCTTTTTATTAGCATGTTTTTTTCAAGAAACTGACACCTAATGGTTAGTGTATAAAATGATTACTATTTAAGGTTACCATAATATTTATAACACAAGAAGAGAACATGTACGAATGACTAATTAAAATATAAAACCAGCATAATAGTGCAAAACAAATAAATAAATAAAAATGACTTACTGGTTTGTTGATCCATAAGATATCTGCATTGTCGGAGAGAGATTCATCTGGACCAAAATCTGTGACTGGCTGGGCCTCTACCCTTGAGCTCTGTTTTCTTTTCAACATACTGTTGTCACTTTTGGTTTTCTGAAACAAAAAATATACGCTGAATACAGAATCGACATCTATGCACTTACAAAATGCACAACACAAACATATGAGCTGCAAACAAAACACACAGCAGACTGGATATAAGATATCTGTTTATTCAAAATTAAATCCCAACCTCGGACACAAAGCAAACATCAAATTACTTTGTGGGATTACAGTATTAAAATGTTTATTCTTGATTTCATAAAATTTTCATTACTTGAAATATATTAATTTGTATGGAAAAAAGCACTGAAACATGAAAAATATTTACTACATAACCTTTTTATTTCATTTTTTTTCGTATTTAAGGACAATATTATTTGGATAAGCTTTTCAGATGATTCAAATATTTTTAAATGATTTAACAACAAGAGTTACCATTAAAGTCTATGGGACTTTGAAAATACAAAACAAAATCATATTGCTCTTATATATGAGAATTTCACAAGTCAATCAGGCTTGCCTTCACAAAGATTACTCTATCCTTAAATAACCCTAATATATCATGCCATAGCCATCATTTATCTTAGTACCAATTGATGACATATGTCATCTATGACATTTTCCTTAGCCTGTTTTCCCTCTTTGGGACACTTTAGTAAATTTGAAAATATTGGCCCAAACCAGCTACTAGGTTTCCACTTGTATGTGCATGTGAAACAATATTAATTAAAGGCACTGCATCACTATACATGCTCAGTTGGTAAATATATCATATTAGCATATACATGCCAGCTCATTTGGCCTGCAGAACCTCCTTCACCCTCTCCCCCTCCCCCCCACACACACACACAACTGCTCTTCAATAGCCTTCAAGATAGTTGTAATGTATGTGTATATCACTTCCCAGACCTTAGTTGTGTATTTTTCCTGTCAAAAAAAATTGTATATCAATTTAAAAAAAAAATTCTCTGCTGATGGTCAGAATTGGCCTATTTAGTTTTTCCATTCCACGTATAAAAGCACATGGTTTATTCTTTATTCCATGTTCTCCTCAAGATAACAACACGCTTCCTGAAACTCCTGAATCCCTTGCAACTACAATTCTTTCTGCAAACAAGTATTCCCTAGCCACTACCATAAATATATGTGTATCCAACTTCAGATCAAGATGTACTAGCCTCTCTACAGAAAACATTACATATTAAAAATGAACAGTTACTGCAAAGAACTTCTGAAATGAAAGTAAAAAATAAATAGATTTTCAGGAGTTTTGGTACTGGCCACTACCATGCGGTTTTTTGTTTAGGCATAAAACAATTATTGCCCATTTTAACCCCTTATTGAAGCCTGATGGAATTATTCCGCCATGAATTTCCTTCCCTTAAGTACCCATGAAGGAATAATTCCATCAAGTGGTATTTTACCACCCGGACTGTTTTCATGCTGGTATCATTAGATACTAGAGGTTCATCTCTGTCAGCTGGGGCCAGAATTGGTGGCCCTATCCTGACAAATGAGCTGCATGCAGCGCTCAAAGTGAGTGCACACAGTTCTTTAAGTGGAGATCTAATTCCAAAGATAGTACAACTTGGTGGGGCAGTATTAAATATCTGCTCACACTAGGAAGATCCAGGTATCAATCAAAACCTGGGTGTCCCCTTTGTCAGCTGGGACTATAGGGGAATGCAAAACTCAAAGTAAGGACATCATGAAGCTCTTTAAATAAGAGCTTTAGGCCACAATTTATGGATTCAAACTGACCGATGAGCAAAGAAAGCACTGCATACAGCTCTTTAAATCAATTGAAATCACAGCACCTGAGCAATCAAGCAGTTGGTCTGTGGGAGACCCCAAGGGTCTGATCAGCTCCGACAGGGCCTCCCTGCATGCTAGTATGCCATTATAACTGGCTTTGCCAGTTTCCCAGCACCAATAATAGTGTAAAACCAAAAAAGTGTAAACAGCAAATAAACAATGTGAATGTCAAATCTTTAAAATAAAATCTAAATTTCAGTCACCATTGGGTGAGAGGTTCTGGAGCTTGGAGATTGGTTATCTGAGATGTAGAAAAAGGCCTAAACAGGTACCACCACACTAACAAACTGGAACGAAATGTACTATGATGTATACTGCCAACCAATGTCATAAATTACCACTGATGTGGTGTGCATGACTTTGTTATTTCCCTTTCTCCCTTTCTTTTCTGTATCCCAATACAAATAACATTTCCCTCATTTCTGTGACACAACCAAATGTACTGCCTTCTATGTTTGAGCAATGAAAAAGTGAAAAACCTCAAAACTGAAAATAAAATATGGTGAAATAATATCACCTCCAAAATATTTCATGTAAAAAGTCCCTATGATGTACACACTTGCAAATGGTATGCACTTATGGAGTAATCTAGATATGTGAGCTACTAAAATACTTTCATAACAAACTTGATAAGGGTCAGCTAAGGAGGTCATTCTGTACCAAGAAGATATAGTGATCGATAGCACAATTTAGTAGTTTTGTATTACAGTAGAACACACTTTACAAGTTTACAAAATAAACTGCTAAATTGCATTATGCACGTAAAAAAACTAAACTCAAAAATAATACCCTAAACTTTGAAAAAATGCAAAATAGGTCCATAAAATCCATCTTATCATAATAACATCTGAGTGTACTGATCTATAAATCATGCTTTTTATACAGAAAAATAAACATTAAAATTCAAAATGTGATATGTACTACATTATGGCTTACCCAGGTATAATAAAGACATGCATCAGAACAATGATAATCCAATGGTCCACAGTCTATTATTTACACCTATCTCTTGTCATTACATATGCACTTACAGATGCGCAGGAACTCATGTCAATGTAGACAGAGTTCTGATATAAACAGGCAGGATTTAGATGGGAAGGATGTACAAACACTCCACAAGAGGTTTAGACTGTTTAACCCAAACATTTCTAGGCAATGTATAGTTATAAATATATTTCCATTAACTGTTGGCCTTGAATGCACATTCTGCCAAGGTCCACTATCGTCATGCGTACTAGTTCCAAAGAGTCCCAAGCAGAGGCATATCTACCGAAGATAGTGTCTACTTCAAGCACTGAAACTGCACCCTTCATGGCCCCTGTCCAGACATCTGACAACCACCTCTCTGCATATGACTGAGTGTCTCTATGTATGTATCTGAGCATCCCTGTTTGTGAATGTGTGTCTCTGTTTCAGTGTGCATGTGCATGTCTGTGTTGGGTAGTTGCTTTTACCTAGCAACTCCAGTCTCACAATTATTCATCCGCCTGAATAGAATCCCTCACAACAGCACAAATGTGCAAAACATGTGTTGTCTCAAGCACACCTGATGCAACTAATCAAGGGCTTCATTAGTTGCATCAAGTGTGCTTGAGAAGGAACACTTGACATACCTGAACTGGCTAAGGGTTTGTTGAGTGTCACATTTGACTGCATGTTAGAAATATGGTTAAGTCAAAAGAATGGTTCAGAAAGTTAAGAAGAGAGATCTTCGCCTTTCACAAACAAGGAACAGGATGAAAAAAGATAACAAAGGCACTGAATGTTCCAAGAGGCACCGCTGTAAGCATAATTTGCACTTTCAAAGTTGAAGGAAACTAGATGGGACAGTTAAAGAAAGCTATCAATGGCTGCAAACAGATTTCTGAGAAGGCAGGCTGTGAAAACCGTCAAGTGACTGCAAAAGACCTGCTGCTAGACTTGGTGGTTACAGACACTGAGATTTCAGTGAGTACAGTAAGACACGTACTAAATGCAGAAGGTTTCCATTCCAGAACTCCAAGATGTACATCACTACTGACCCGAAAGCACAAGAAAAGTTTGCTCCAATATGCTTAAAATCATATAAATAAGCCACAGAAGTTTTGGGATTCTGTTCTGTGGAGGGATGAAACAAAACTGTAACTTTTCGGCCAAGTGGATCAGCGGTTAACACTACAGTTAAACATGGTGGTGGCTCGGTGATGCTCTGGGGCTGATTTGCATCCTCTTGCATACCTGCAGCATTTGGAAGGCAAGATTCATTGAAGTATAAGGAAATTCTAGGAGATAACGTCATGCCGTCTGTGAAGAACCTGAAGCTTGGACATTATTGGACCTTCCAACAAGACAATGATCCCAAGCATACCTCAGAAAAAAACTGGTTGCAGAAGAAGTCCTGAAAAATTCTACAGTGGCCATCTGCGTCACCTGATTTGAACTCCATAGAAAATCTCTGGTGGGATTTCAAGAAGACAGTTGCAGCACGCAAACCCAAGAATATTACTGAACTGGAGGCCATTGATCATAATCAATGGGCTAAGATTCTTCAGGAATGCTGTCAAAAGCTGATGTCTGGCTATGTATCTCGTTTGCAGCAGGTCATAACAGCAAAGTTCTTAGTACTAAAGATGCTTACCATTAAGGAGTTGAGTGATTTTGAAACTGGAGAAGTCATTATAAGTTGCATTTTCAGTTGAATTTAGGGAAACCACTTGAAGCATTTGTTGTGTTGAGCTATTCAATTCATTTTGTTTGAGTTGTTCATTGCAACCAGCTGAAAGTCTACATTTTGACAATAAATCAGATTTTCAATGGGGGTTGAGATATTATCCATTCTTTGCTAAAAGGAGATATATTTCTGCATTTTAAATCCTCAGCAATATTTGGTTGGAAAAATGATTCAGGAATTTTGAGTTACAGGAGTCTTAACAGTTGCTTCAAATGTCTTAAAAAAAACGACTTCATGTTACACCAATAATAACTTAACTAAGAGGTGCTCTGTCAAAAATTAAGGGGAAATGTGTTTAATGAGCACATTCTCTACATTTAATTTCCACTGTTAAACATGTGACACACTCGTAAAGGACTTATGGGTAGCAGCAGTGAATTATGCTATCCGCATGCAATATTTCACATTTTCACTCTTTGTTTTTGTCTTTTTAGGTTTCAGAAAGATATGGAAAGATAATCCTACACAATATTAAAATATATATATTTAGACTATAATTAAGAGAATGGGATTATCATATGCTTTCCGCTATCCACTGCAGGAAGGGATTCTTGTCAATGAATCTCAGAGAAAATGAAGTCATGAAAACTACTGGCAAATATGCTCACAATGCCAAGAACCAGTAGGTAGCCGTTTCCCAAGGCAATAGTCTTGCTGTTAAGTGATTGGCAGTCTTGGAAATATGGACATTCTTTATAAAATTGTCCATGAAGTTACAAGTACACACTATGTCGATGTCATCTTAAACTACCGTTTCATGATTATATATAGTTGCGTATTTTTGGTTCCTTATCATATATTAATTTAAAACACCTTGATTTATAGTATAAAATCTTTGATTTACACTACATTCTTTTCAAATATATATATGAAAACAGGGTAACCTTTGGCACTACAGATGTTGTGGACAGAGGCGTAACTAGAAACCACAGGGCCCTGGTGCGAAAATTGACCTGGGCCCCCCTTATATGTCTACCCCCTGCCACTCCCCCATACGTCTATCCTCCCCCCATACGTCCCCCCTGCCGACCCCACATACGTCTATTCTCCCCCTCCCACACGTTTCCCCACACACACATGCAGACAAACAGATACACATGCAGATACACATACACACACACATACAGACACATACATACATACAGAGACACATATACAGACACACAGACATACACACATACAAACACACACCCACACATACACACACACAGACAGACACACACATAGACACACATACTAAATGTTTTAGTCACCCTCCTTTTAGATGCAGGAGGGTTACTTCCCTGAGGTCCAGTGGTGGCTCAGGCTGATGGGAGTCGGAATTCCCACTCTGACTCCCTTCTCTCCTTCCTCCTCCTGTGCGGCTCCTGGTGTAAGCTGAGAGGAGTGACCGGGGCAGTCATTTTCTTCCAGCTGTGATGTCATCTCAGGGGGCCCGGTCGCGCTGTTAAAGTGCCACAGCGCTGACCGGGTCCCCTGGATATTCATTGCCATCAGGTGGGCCTAACAGCATGGACCACCCGATGGGCTCCTTCAATGTGGCACCCGGCGGTTCTACCGCACGGGCTGAGACCGCAACACATGGCGGCAGGCATCGTGGTCACGGGGGCCCGCAGGGCAGCCGGGTCCCCTGGAGTGACGGGCCCGGTTGTTCCGCCACTGGTTGTGGACTACTTTACCCCTAATACTTTGCCAGCAGTATGGATGTAAAAGCATTAAAGGAGATGTAGACCAAAACATCTGGATTGTCAAAGATTGCTTACTGCTGCATGTTATACCGAGCAGCAGCTACCGAACTGGCAAAATAGTCATGGTTTTGGGTCCTGACTTGTCATTATGGCTTACAGGATTAGTAGCCAAACTGAAAACTTAGCTGACGTGTTCGGCTGTTTTGACTTCGAATTTGAAATTCACTTTGAATTTACCTTGAATTCTCACGTTAGTGAATAACCCTGTGAGTTTTCAGAAAAGCAGAGAATAGTCCTCAGCATATGCAGTGCAAGCTCATCATTAGAAATCTTTGCACTGTACAAACTTCACACTTTCCACCTATTACTTTTCACACATTGAGAGAAATAGTGTGTACGGCGTTAACGTTTTCTAGTGTGCTTCTGTTTTGTTTTTGCATTTTATTTGAGAAGATGTTCAGGGATAACTTGCTTCCATTAGATATATGGGAGTCATATTGAGCCATATAAAACCCATTGTACATTCATGTCCATTGAGATGCTAAATAGAAAATTCCAAACATTGATTAAAAGTGTCCAAATGTTGAGGTCCATAAGTTTAGTGAATAACCCTGTCGGCCTTATGAATCGTTCAAAAGTATATTTATTGTAAAAATTGCATTTTTGTGGAATGTCTTCAGTCAGTTTTTCTGTAGTCCTTGATGCACATGACATCGAAAACGCCAGCTCGTGGATGTTTTGTAATATTTTAGAGCCAATTCATCACGCATCTGTTTACACCATCACTCAGAAAACACTGTCTTTACCCAATTCATAACGGCAGTACTAGTATAATGCAGCTTGTTTTTTCCCCTTTTATTGTGTCACTTTTGATCTCATTCGAGATGTGGTTATCAAAGATAAATTATCCAATATAGATGTAGTTTGGCTCTCAAAGACAGCTCAGTATATTCTCAGCTTCTTTCCATATACCCCATGCCCTTCAGAAGCAGGGACAGTCCATATATTAGTGAACTGTAACATTATGAAGACACAAAATAGAGCACTTTGTCCTTCCTATCTTACATTATTGCTCTGAGATATTGGAAAAAGAAAGGTGTGTGATATGATAGATAGCAAGAATGGAAATGTAATGTGCATCAAAAACTGTGTGTAGTTGCAGGTAGTTGCTTGGTTAAAGATAGACGTGATGAGGCGGGGCACGCTAAACGGAACTGTAACATAAACAAACTGATTATTGTTTAATGAATTGGACATATCAATATATTAGTGGGATTTGTTTATCTGATAAATCTATTACATTCACTTTATATAACCATCCCCAACATCATTTCCTAGCACAGGTAAAAAAATAAACCACATTCTAATATCAAGATCAATATTTCTGCCTATTGATCCAGCAACATCTTCTTTATTCTCAGGCAGGACGAGACATGCACAAAGCAACATTTGGCAACTTCACCAAAATAATTAAGGTACTTGTCTAAATTAAATTGGGTATCTAGAGGTTTCATTAGCATCTGGTATATTGGATTGGAATGCTGCTTCCTGTATAAGAATAATCTGGTTTTGTTTTACCCAAGCAATGTTGTAGTAAACAATCCATACCTCATTTTAGAAATATTAAACCCTTCTAATATTAAATAAACACGATTAATTTAAAGGGACACTGTGAGCTCCACAACCACCTAAGTTCATTCTGTAGTTTTTGATGCAAGCAGTTCTAATGTCACTCTTTTCCTTGCATATTGTTTGTAAAAATGCTGCAGTTCAAATCAATGCTTTAGCTCAGATATACAAGAGTAAGCATCCTGCTCACCATGCAAGTCCAAAGCAGGTGCTCTGCCAAGCCTCAACACTAGAGCCAATTCACAGCTGTGCCACTTTTCAGATCTCTCGAAACACACATGTTGAATATTCTCCGTAAGAAATATTTGTGCATCATACCAAACCCAGATTATATTTGCATATCTTTCTTGTAAAGTACATACCAACAGAGTTGTGGTGGGGAAAAAAGAGTGGATGAAAACCTCTTCCACCTGAAATAAGTGGATAGTTAATACATTGCTAAACACCAAAAACACACACCAATCAAGCCATAAAACTTGCTTTACCCACATAAATCTCACTTTAACAGTGCTCTCACTACCAATGGGTGGTGGCTGAGAGGGACCACAAGGTACTGCGTTTAGTTTAATAGCCCCCACTCGCGGGGCACAGGTGGGTACTGGAAGGGGGATACTGTGTGTCGGGGTATAGTGTGTAGGAGTGAGGTTATAACTTTTCTTATTTACTAATACAAAGTAGTTTTACTCAGCATTAGTAAAGTTGCTTGAAAGACCAAGACTAAAGTACACTGGTCAGGGCCGTCTTTAACGCGGGGCAAACGGGGCAGCTGCCCCAGGCCCAAATGCTCCTGAGGGGCCCCAGAGCAGCTACCTCGTGGGCCCCGCGATTTGAGCAGCTCCCATGGACCTGGCGGGGCGGCTGCACAGAGCCACACCAGTCGCACACTAAGGAGGCCCCCGGGTGACCCATGCACTAAGGGCCACCCGGTGGGCATGTGTCAGCAGGGGCCCGGTCAGGCGCTGTGACACTTAAACAGCGCGACCGGGCCCCTTCCTGTTCGGCAGCCGGCTGGGAGGAAGTGAGTGCCGCGCGTCACTTCCTCCCACCAGAGATCACAACCGCGCGGGAGGAGAAAGGCAGGGAGGAGGGGAGTTCCAGAGGAGAACTCCCAACTGCCTCAGCCTGCCACTGGACCAGGGAAACCACCCTACAGAAAAAGGTAAGAAACTGGAGGGTGGCTAAATGTATGTCTGTGTGTGTGTGTGTGTGTCTATGTCTGTCTGTGTGTGTGTGTCAGTATGTGTGTATGTATGTCTGTGAGTGTCAGTATGTCTCTGTGTGTCTATGTCTGTCTGTCTGTGTGTGTGTATGTCAGTATGTCTGTGTGTCACTAAGTATGTGTGTGTGTCTATGTCTGTCTGTGTGTGTGTGTGTGTATGTATACCAGTATGTCTGTGTATGTCTGTATATGTCAGTATGCCTGTGTGTGTGTTTGTCAGTATGTCTGTGTGTGTGTCAGTATGTCTGTGTGTGTGTCAGTATGTCTGTGTGTGTCAGTATGTCTGCCTGTGTGTCTGTGTCAGAATGCCTGTGTGTGTGTGCCAATAGGTCTGTCAGTGTATGCGTCTGTGTGTGTCAGTATATTTGTCAGTTTATGTGTCTGTGTATTCATGAATGTGTGTCTGTATGTGTGTCAGTATGTCTGAATGTGTGTCAATATGTCTGCCAGTATATATTTGTGTGTCAGTGTATGTGTATGTCAGTATGTATCTGAGAATGTTTACATATGCCTGTCTGTGTGCGTATGTGTCAGTATGTCTGTCAGTGTGATTGCGGGTTGGGTGTAATTAGGGTGTTGCGGGGGAAGGAGCAGGGCCCAGGCGGCCCAAGAAAATGCATTGCCCAGGGTCCTAATCATATTATAGACGGCCCTGACACTGGTTATGGTGTTTGGAGTGTTTCATTAACCCCTTAAGGACACATGACATGTATGACATGTCATGATTCCCTTTTATTCCATAAGTTTGGTCCTTAAGGGGTTAAAGACAAACATCTAGTCTTTCATTTGCATCTGTTATATCAATATTTTCTTCAGGTTTTTCTATGGCTATGGCATATGATAGAGTTAGAGTTAGATTTTATAGCAGAGTTAGAGTTAGATTCAAAATGTGCAACAGTCAAAATAAACATACACTCATTTGTGTGTTTTTCTTTTCAGTATGGCCCCTTTAAAATCTAGTCTAGCTGTAACTCTACTATATTCCATAAAAAAACCCTGAAGAAAATATTGATATAACAGATGCAAATGAAAGGCTAGATATGTGTCTTTAATGAAACACTCCAAACACCATAACCAGTGTACTTTAGTGGTTATGGTGCCAAAAGTGCTTTAGAGTATGTCCTACTACTACTATATATATGTAGCGAAATGAACGCTTGTCAAACACTAATCATTCCCTTTGTTCAGCTGTCCGTAACCCCTCTGTTCGTCTACCGAACCCCATTTGTGTGGCCCATGGCTTTGCATCTTTTAACCCCTTAAGGACTGAGCCAAATGTACACGTTGTGATCAAAACAAAACGTAAACAAAAACTTTAATTTGCGGTATATGTCTGTTCAGGCTTAATTCACCTCTTTCATTTTATGTGCACCCACACTTATTATATATCATTTTATTCAGGGGAAACAGGGCTTTCATTTAACATCAAATATTTAGGTATAAAACATAATTTAATATGAATAAAATATAAACAAATGGGAGAAAATATGAATTTTTTAAAAAAATGTTTAGTTCTAAGTGACAGTCTAAATGTGAATGTCATAATACTGTTTGATTTTACTGCAATAAAATACACATATTTGTATTCAGCGATGTCTCACGTGTAAAACCCCCTATGTACAGGTTTTATGGTGTTTTGGGAAGTTACAGGGTCAAATATGGCATGTTACATTGTCCAGTTTTTTCACATTCGCCAGATTGGTTGCGCTGCCTTTGAGACCGTATGATAGCCCAGGAATGAGAATTACTCCCATGATGGCTTACCATCTGCAAAAGTAGACAACCCAAGGTATTGCAAATGGGGTATGCCCAGTCTTTTTTAATAGCTACTTGGTCACAAACACTGGCCAAAGTTAGTGTTAATATTTGAAAATGCAAAAAACTAATTTGAATGTCAATTTTGGCCAGTGTTTGTGACTAAGAGGCTACTAAAAAGGTCTGGACATACTCTATTTGCAATACCTTGGGTTGTCTACGTTTGCAAATGGTATGCCATTATGGGGGTAATTCTCATTCCTGGGCTACCGTACGGCCTCAAAGGCAACGTAACCAATCTGGCGAATTTCAATGTGAAAAAACTGAAACGCAAACCTTATATTTGACTCTCTACCTTTTGAAAACACCATAAAACCTGTACATAAGGGGTACTGTTATACTCGGGAGACTTCGCTGAACACAAATATTAGTGTTTCAAAATGGTAAAACGTATCACAACAATTATATTGTCCATGTAAGTGCCATTTGGGTGTGAAAAATGCAAGAAATTTCACTTTCACGTCGTTGTAATACATGTTACTGTTTTGAAACACTAATATTTGTGTTCAGCGAAGTTTTCCGAGTAAAACAGTACCCCCCATATACAGGTGTTATGGCGTTTTGGATAGTTACAAGGTTAAATATAGTGCTAGCAAATTAAATTCCCTGGACTTTTGGCTTGGGTTGTCAGGTCCTGCTAATTGTAATTAAGAAAATTACCTAATTATGTAAAATTATTACATAAATATATACGTAGAATTATTATATATATGTGTGTGTACATAAATATATGAATATATATGTATATAATTTTTTTAAACAATTTTTAGTTATATATAGGTATATTTATAGTGATATATACGTATATACTTATTTATATAGATATATATTATTTCGTTCTACATGTATTTTGATATCAATATATATATATATTAATTTTAAAATACATTTAGAACGAATTTACACACATATATATATTTTTTTTTTTTATGTATTTACAGATTTATTTATTTTATATTATATATAAATATATATATAATAAAAAGTATATATATTTAATCAATATTATTGTACGTGTATTTTGATATTAATATATATTTATAATTATATATATATTAATATTAAAATACACTTAGACTATGTATGTGTATGTGTGTATATGTGTGTATATATACTTAGATCATATATATAATAAATATATTTATGATCTAAGTATATATTATTTATTTTTACACTGTTTTAACTTTATTTTATTTTCAGGCAGCAGGGGGAGTACCTGTCATTTGTTTCCCGAATGTGGGCAGCGGTACATTGTCGTCGATGACATGGAACTGATTTCGGCTACACAGCCCTGCGAACACCCAGTAAACTGATACCGCTGCCTATTCAACTTCCCGAACTATTAAGAAAACGGCGTTCAGGGGGACATACACTACCGAATAGGGGGAACATTCGTAGCCAGGGGGAGCTTTCGACTGTATTCATGTGAGAACCCCTGAAAGATGACAGGTTGTGCCTGATTTTCCTCTGGAACTGTTTTGGGGCTTCACCTCGTGGCTGACCAGCCAAAACTTCACTTGAATGGCGTTCCCGAACCACCGAAGAGATCTGAGTGATATTTTGACAAAGTGTGCGCTCAGATCAAAGCATTTGATTGGTTTCTGGAATTGTAAAATATATGTTTTGGGGTGTAAGTCATGTATATGTACTGACCTGAGAGTTAATGTGATTTAGTTGTGTACTTTGAAACAGTCTACTCTCAGGTCCAGTGGGGAAAGCCCCTGGAATATGATTAAGGAAACCCCTTGCATGGGGGGTTACATAAAAGGCCATGTGTGGCTCCCATTAAACCAGTTGACTCCCAGAACTGTGTGTCGTCCAGTTACTGAGGGGATTTTGCCTTGGATATGGTACTGTTTCCTCAGCTTCAGCGATTATACAGCAGAGATACCTATGTTGGGTATTGGAGCTCCGTTACAATGTATATATAGTACACACACACACACAAAACGTGCAGTCTTTTTTCTTTTTTAAAGAATAAGTGTTGAGTTGGAGATATATATATAATAGAGACTTATTTGTTCAGAAAACATTGTCTACTGTGATTTTTTACAAGTGTGGTTGTGTACATTTGTGATAAGGTAAAAGCGTATGTTAAAATATAGAGAAAAGTATAATTAAACTGTATGTCCATTTGGTCTTTCCTTGGTGCTAACATATTTCACAAGCAGTGGTGAGCTTAGTGATAAGCAGCTGTGCAATTAATCATACATATCTATATATCAAGTCATTATAACGTCATCCAAGGATCCGACAATTTTAAAAACTGTTACAAACTGTGGATTTCTTAAATCAACTTGAAGATTGGTTGCCATTATCGCATCCAAAACATGGAATTTTAAGGACATTAGGCATTTGGTAAATTTAGTAAATGCTTCCACCAGCTTGCCTCAAACTAAAGCAAATTAAAATCTGTTGGGAAGGAAATCTGTCAAATGTTGATGAAAAAATAATTATTATTGCAAAACTTGTTGATGCTATCAAGATCCCTGCCAGTGATATTTCTTAGTCACTATATTATCAGGATCTTCAAAGAAATGAATGTAGACATTTACAGAAGAGATTGAGCTATTCAGAAAAATATCTGGTATCTTCAGATGTCAGAGAAGATGATTACCACTCATGAAACATATGACTTTGATAATAACATTTGTTTGTGTTCAACACATGATGAATAATGTATCATCAGTGAGATATAATAGTTGCCTAGAACAGAAAAATGGAACCAGCGCAAACAAGACTTTTTAATGCACCTCAGTGCTGTGATATTCACTCATTCTTGTTTGCGCTGGTCCTATTTTTCGGTTTTGGATTGCAATTACTATGTCAATGTTGGAGCCACAGTAAAATATGATATAAGCTGCACAGAAGTTAACCCCTTCCTGGCGTTAGGGCATTAGAGCATTCTATGCAGTCCTACAAAAGGAGGGCATTTAACACTGTCCGGGCGGCATACCACACCTTAACAAAAGGACTCTCTCTCCGGCCTGCATACTTACAGCCTCATCGGATCAGATCACAGACCCAATGTGACATGGAAACTAACATGCATCTTTAAAGTTGTTTTCTTTACACAATAGTGCCCTCTGGCCTCTAGTATTCTCCCCACCCCCCTTGGAATTTAAATGGTTCAAAAAACCTCAGGTTACTCAACCATTCTATGCCTTCTCCAATGAAATCAAATGGGGGACCTAATGTGTGTGGCATGCACCGAGAGTGTATTAGGCCCTCCCCATTGCTTCAATACTTTCCTAAGGGATTTCTCTAATGCTGAATGTCCTCATGCAACCAAAACTCGGTTAGGATCCAGGTAGTGCCTATAGTGACTGTTTGATTGACAGCCACTAGGGGCAGACTTCGTCCTGCAAGGTAATCATTGCAATTTCTTTAAAATTGCAATGATTTACATTGCAGGACTAAGGGGGAAGGGACACAATGATCTGAAGTGGTCTGGGTGCCTGTATTGTCACTTTAAGGTGAACACTAGCCTTAAGAGTTAAAAAGGCAAATCAATGTCATAACTGTTCTGCCTCGTTTCAGCTTACTAAAGCATCTCTGTATTTCTTCATTCCCATTAAACACCTACCTATATCTCTACTATATACTGAAAACAACTAATCATGCACATCATGACAATGTTGAAGAATAACACCACCATACAAAACATGTTACTATGCCTAAACTACCACAGTAATAACCCCCAAAACCAAACAGCTGACTATGCAAATCAATTACAAGGTCCTTGGCCCTAGGCAAGCTTGAAAAAGATCTTTTGGTCAAAATGTTGCTGCTTGACACTGCAGTTCCAATTAATTAGTCTATCTAAGCCTTGGACTGGCATGACTATTTTCTTTTTTCTTTGACTACAAACTACCTCCTGGGCCTTGGTGCTAGCCCCAGGTTTGGTTGCACCCAGGATTTTATCTATGGGTTGAATGCAGTTCCTTTCGATATATTAAACATGGGTGATGACTGCTAGGCAAGCCACATTCAATAATCCTATTTTATACATGAAAAGGAAATGTCATACTCATTACTGTCATTGCAGGTGATACTGGCTATGCTTTTTTAGGAGCTTCGGTGGAAGAACTACCACTGGTGCAGCCTATGTGACTGCACCTGGGCCCACAAGCCCATAGGGCGCAGCCATGCTCCTTTTACATTGGCCGGCTGGAAGGAAGTGAGAGCCTGTCATTTCCTCTTAGTTTAAATAGAGAGCTGTGAAGGAGAGAGTAGGTGGCACAGGACACAGCAGTGTGAAACAGCAGTGTAATCCCAGAGTCTGAAGAGAGAGAGAAGGGGACTGACTGACCATGTGCTGCTCAGAGTGGCATGTGCATAATCCTGCACTGGACTGCATGAGTCACTGTGTGTGTGTATGGGTCACTGAGGGAATCTATTGTCACTATGTGTGTGTATGGATCGTGTATGTATGAGTCACTGAATGTATGTGTCACTGTGTTTGTGTGTGAGTGTGTATGGGTCACTGAGTGTATGTGTATGTATATGTCAGTGTGTATGTATATGTGTATCTTTGTCCATGTGTGTGCATGTGTGGCAATATATGTGTATCTGTGGCAGTATGTGTGTGTCAGTGTGTGTAGGTCTCAGTGTGTATGTGCATCTGTCAGTATGTGTGTGTATCTGTTTGTGTATCTGTGTGTGTATACCTGTGTGTGAGCCAAGCATGTTCATAGATTCGATATTTGTGCTACACTGATTGGCTCATCATTGTGCTTTTTTGTTTGTCCTAATCATTTTAAATTATGTTTTGGGATTGAGGATATTCAGACGAGCCTAGCAACCAACTGAATGAATGTCGGAAATTCCAAACTAAGTTTAATTTTTGGCAAAATGGTTTAGCTGAAACTATTTTTTTTTGCCTTGCACAAGTCTACTAAGTGTTTTATGCCATCATTGCATACTGTATAATGTACAACATTGCTGTGGCTCTCAGATTTCCAGAGGACATACTGCCATTACACTTAAAGGAGGTTCCTGGGCCAGAGCGATCAAAAAAGTTAAACAGTACAAGTATGCACATTACGAGGAGAGACATAATTAAAGGCTTACTCCAATCAATGTTTTTAGTAAACTTTTCTGAGGTGGTCCCCCTATACCAAACTTAAAAAAAAGAAAATAAACACTGTTTACTTCCATTCTATTGTTAAGTTCAAGTTCTCCCCTCAGCCATCTCCTCCTTGGCTGACACCACTCCCGTTCACTAGAGAGGACAGACTGAGGGTAGGATAGTGGCGGCAGGAAGTGGGACATGCTGCCATTAACTGTCTGGTGCCAGCATATGGCAGACACCAATTTTACACAGAATTGACATTAACTAGCATGGAGCTTTTTCTGGGTTGGCTAATGGTGTTGCTGGAGGTGAAGCTCTGACAGCTAACGGATTAATCTTTACATGTGCAGCATTTCAAAGTGAAATGCTGCACAGACTCCAGGCACTACAACCACTTCAAATTACTGAAGTTTGCGTGGTGTTTGGAATAACCCTTTAAATATCTGATTACCTAGATGCTGGTGAAATACCATTATCTACATCTTCACTTAATGATATGCACTCAATGTCATTAGCATCTGCTGTCCCAACGACAGTGATGCCATCAGAAATTTTGGAGCCCCCTATACAGCTGAAGGCCTGAGTCTTCCTGTAGTGCATACTCCCGAATCAGTAAAGTGGATGCAGGGTGTGTACAGTGGATTCAGTGTGTGTATATATAGTGGATGCAGTGTGTGTAAACATTGTATGTAGTGTATGTGTATAGTGGATGCAGAGAGTGTGTGTGAGTAAAGTGGATGCAGTGTGTGAGTATAGGGGATGCAGTCTGTGTTACCAGTAATAATAATAATAAAAAAATATATATATATATATTATTATTATTATTATGTGTGTGTATATATAAATAGATTATATATATATATATATATATATATATACATATATATACACACACACAGAGATGTGTGTGTGTGTGTGTATATATAAAATCCACAGTATCCTTGCACACATGGACTGTGTATTAAAGTTTCCGGGTGCTTGCAGTCCGGGGGAAATCATGTATATAAGTTGTAAAGATGACCAGCACTCATGGCTTTGTAGAAGTTAAAAGTTGTAGGCTTTAATGAAAACACATGGTCAAAAGTAGTTCTGACCCTGTACAACTCTATTAACTATACCCCTGATGGTGGCCCTGCACTCCAGGCATCGGTACAGTTTGCTTTTTCAGCTGACACACATCCCTAAGTCCGTCTGACTCAGCAACTTCACAACTGTACCAGACTTCATGGAAGCTGGAGCTAATGAGCAAATAGTGAGCTAGCGGAATACAATACTTTAAAAAGTTAACTTAAAAACGACAACAAATACACAAATATAGTCCAATTAGATTTATTGAATGAATAACTAAAAAGGTAAAGCAGTGGAGTTACTTCTTTGGCAGACCAGATAAGTCTTGTTGTGGTGACCAAAGCTTCATGAAGGCTCTTCTCTTGAAGACATAGATGTAAGACTCACAGATGTAGTCAATGTGGAAGCAATGTCAGCAGCTGTCCAAACTCAACTCAACCTCTGCTATGCAATCATGTGTTAAGTTCACATTGTGTATTTCTCTACATAGCATTTGCATGCAGTCTGAGTGATGCCGATACTGTCCTGCATCACAGTACATATTCTTCAACTACTTTGTAACTATGTTGACTTCACTTTGTATTCTTCATATTAAGAGCTTTCTCCTGTTGGTGGGGACACAGTATCTCAAACACCATTGCAGCAGGCATTTCTTCAGAGGTTATTCTTGGAACAAGAGCACTGGGAATATTGCCAGGCTGGTATGGCATGTGAACATGTGTAAGCTTGTGTCAGAATCCTCTCCCTACCTCTAGTTTCCAGCGTCTGGGTCTCAGATGCACCAACTTAGCATCCAGCAATGTTGCAGGTGTGCATCAATAATGTCGCAGGTTACATTTTCAATGTAGAGCATTACACTGCTCCTAGGCTCCAGTTAAGTGACTGTCTGACAACTTGTGATGTAAACAGCAATAGTGATCTTGGTATACTAGAGTCTCTACATGGTGGTGCAGAGCCATGTATTACAGAAGCTTCTACAATAGAATCAGGTGGTATGGAGATAAGTAGTGTAGAATCAACTGATTTTGAGTCACCTGGTGCAGGAGTTCAATAATGTATTATATTCATATGTTTGCTTTGATAGTCTTATTGTTTAAAAGGGGTTATAGCATGTTGTGGTGTTAATTATGTCTTCACTTCTTTCTTGGGCAATGGAGTGTTCCATATTGGTAGCATAGATATTGAAGCTGTAGTGATATGGAAAAAAAATCTTTTTTTGAAAATGTTATGATTCAAGCTTCCACATGATATTGACATTCCTGCCCTTCCTGTCAGTGCACATCTCACTTGTCACAATGTGCTTTAAAGACCTCTATGCAAATTAGATACATCAATGTACCATGGTATCCATTAAAGTAATGTTTTCTTGAATGTTACTAAATCAGGCCTCATCTAATCATGGCACAAATCAAGAACCTCTTAAACCTTTCACCAACTTTCAGGAGCCTAGTCAACAATGTGGTTCTTGTTAAAATGGACATTCAAACCATCCATGTGTTTTCTCCTCTAACTACCTTAGGTCATCCCTGACAATTTTCTCTACCCACCTTCTGGGACAGAGAAGAGAGAGCAGGCTGCAAAAAGCAATGTCCGGGGGTTGGTTTGCCCATCAAGGTGGTGGCCTGCCATTCAAAGGGGTGGCGAGACCATCCATCAATACATCAAGGGCCTGTGTATCAAGAGGATTGCCTGGCTGACTGATAGACTGCCTCCTCATGCATGAAGTGCTGTTGAAACATTCTCTGCATGGTCCTAATACACAGTTCCCTCCTGCATTTTGAAATATGATGACAAATTTAAAAATGCAGGACAGGTCCATAGTACCTATTTTTGATGGGACCCCTAAATGTGTGACTTCCATCAGCGAATTCTGGACTGCTGATGCGTATGCTTTATCACTGAAAATAGGGGCTGGAGTAGGGTTGAATTAAGGATGTGCACAGGCACCTCACCTCAGTGTGGATTTACTGACTAAAACTCAAGTAGATTATCTTTACATCACACACATAACTAGCTAGTTCACAGCATGCATGACTATAATATTGTGTCACATCTAGGAACAGTCAGAACAAAGCCAAACTCAAATACCAAATACAAAAATATCAAGATCAGGAACGCACTCTCGGATTACCATCAGGCAGAAACCATGACAGGGCAATGAGAGAATGGCCATAATCTGCCTTTGACCCCAAAATGTGCGTTCGTGTGACGTCACGTGCCCGCCAACGTCATCCTCAACGTGGGTGGTCATGGGGCTATAAAGTGGCATTGATCCGCAGCGGCCCGACATCCCTAGTTATGCTGGTTTTATCAGGTATCCGGGCGCACGGCTGTAGATGGGCACAACTACTCCTGTCAGGACGGTAAATACCATCAAACACATTACTATAAGCGGATGAATTTGTTACCCCCCCGAAGACCACCCACCGGCTGCAGGACCCGGCTTGAGAGGAAACTTGGCATGGAAAGAGCGAACCTTGCAACCTGCATGGATATCAGAAGCAGGAACCCAAGAGCTGTCGGCAGGTCCATACCCTTTCCAATCAACCAGGTACTGCAACTAACCACGAGAAAACCTGGGATCGATAATGGAGGAGATCTGGAAACAACCAAAGGAGGAGGAGGAACTGCCGGGACTGTATATTTATTGCAAATATGCGGTTTGAGTAAAAATACATGAAGCAAATTAGGAATGCGCAAGGATGTAGGAAGGGCCAAGGAATAAGAAAAAGGGTTAATTCTCTTAAGGACAAGGTAAGGACCAAGAAACCTAGGAGCAAATTTCATGCTAGGAACATTCCGTCTAATGTTGCAAGAAAACAACCAAACCTGGACCCCCACCTGGTAAACCGGGTTGGCACGCCGCCATTTATCAGCATGGAATTTAAAGCGAGCAGCCGCAGTTTTAAGAGCTGAGTGAACCTTAGTCCAAGTGTCACGGATAGAGGCCAGGTAGTCATCCAGAGCAGGGATAGCTGTGTCAGAAAACATATCAGAGAGAATAGTAGGGTGGCAGCCGGTATTGGCAAAGAAAGGACTGTGCCCAGATGCATCATAGGTAGAGTTATTCCTGGCAAATTTGGCCCAAGGCAACAAATCAGCCCAATTAGACTGAGTACCATTCACAAAGCAACATAAATACAGCTCAATCGATTGATTAGCCCTTATAGCCGCACCATGGACTGGGTATGGTAAGCAGAGAAAAAAGACAAGTTAATGCCCAACTGTTTATTGAATGCCCTCCAGAATTTTGACACAAATTGGGAACCCCTATCTGACACAATATTTTGAGCGATCCCATGAAGCCTGACAATGTCGCGCATAAATATGAGGACTAGATCCTGAGAAAATGGCAATTTTTTTAGTGGATTGAAATGTGCCATTTTGGAAAAGCGGTCAACTTCCATAAGGATGGTGGTATAACCATTAGAACTAGGTAGGTCCACAATGAAATCCATAGACAGATGAGACCATGGAGTGGGAAGTGGATGTAATAATCCACAGGGAGTGACTCCCACCAAAATGATCTGGAAATAGCCGATATAGACTTATTTATACCCGGATGTCCAGCTGTAACATTGCTGTGGAATATTGTCAACGCCTCTTTTCTGTCATGTAATGGAAAACACAATGTACATAGAGGTTTATCATTAGGTGCCTGGGACTGAACCGCCATGATAGCACAAAGCAATTGTGATGACAAGGAAAGGACAGTGGATGCTATGATGCACTAAGGAGGAACAATGGTTGACATCTCTTGTTCTAGTTCTGACTCTTCGTCAAATTGTCTAGATAAGGCGTCAGCTTTAAAAATTTTAGGACCAGGCCTGTAAGTAATAATAAAGTTAAAGCGGGACAAAAATAGAGACCGTCTAGCTTGTCTTTTGTATTTGTATTTTTTTGTATTTTATTGTACCCTAATGTAACAATGCAATGATTTGTGGACCCAGGACATACTTGAAAATGAGAGAAATCTCAATGTATTTTTCCTGGTAAAATATTTTATAAATAAATAAATAAGACAGACATTTGACATCACCAATATAGGCCAGATCAGTTATCATTTCCTTGGAACCCTCCAAAAGAAGTTGCCACTCCTTGAGCACCAAAATAATGGCCAATAGTTCTCTGTTACCTAGGTCATAATTACGCTCAGCTGAAGACAACTTTCTGGAGAAGTAACCACAAGGATGTAAGGGGGTATTCTGACTCTCTCTCTGGGAAAGAACAGCCCCGGCCCCTGTCTCGGAGCCATCAACCTCCAATATGAAAGCCTTGCTAGTATCAGGATGTATCAATAAGTCTGCGTAAGCAAAATAAATTTGAGACGTTCAAAAGCCTCTTTGGTTTCTTTGGATCATATATTGCAATTAGCCCCTTTGTGTGTCATATTGGTGATGGGGGCTATTACTGAAGAGAACCCTTTTATAAACCTCCTGTAATAATTGGAGAAACCAATGAACCTTTGAATGGCTTTTAACCCGTTGGGTAATGGCCAGTGTAGAACAGCCTTTAGTTTGTGAGGATCCATCTGGAAACCAGAGGCGGATATATTATACCCCAAAAACTGTACTTCAAGTTGATCAAACATGCCTTTCTGAAGTTTACAATAAAGACCAATCTTGAGTAAAGTGTGTAACACTTGTTTAACATGATCATGATGGATCTAGAGGTCGGGGGAATAAACAAGGATTTCATCAAGGTATACAAGTGCAAAAGAGTAAAATTAATCCCTTAACACATCGTTAATGAAGTCCTGAAATACGGCCGGGAAATGGGGCAGGCATTTTTTAAGGTGATTTTGTTTAATCCCCTATAGTCAATGCAAGGACGTAATTCTCCATCCTTTTTAGACACAAAAATAGCAACCTGCACCAGTAGGGGATGATGATTTTTGTATGTGACCCTTACTTAAGGCACCTCATGTACTCCTCCATGATTTTACTCTCTTGTGGGGATAGAGCATAAACCGCCCTTTTAGGAGGCATGGCCCCAGGCAACAGACCAATGGAACAATCATATGATCTATGTGGAGGTAGAACATCAGTTTGACTTTTACTGAACACTTCCCTAACCTCCCAATACTACATGGGTATTTCGGGGGTAGTGGGTGTAACAGTAGGTAAAGTAACGATGCCCACTCTTTTAGTAAGAGGTGATATACAACCCTCCTGACAGTCTGCGCCCCATTCAAGTATTTCCCCTTTGGCCCAGTCAATATAAAGGTTGTGCTTGATGAGCCTAGAGAATCCTAATATGATGGGACAGGAAGGGGAAGCGATTGTCTGAAATGTAAGGAATTCTTTATGTAATGTTCCTATACTGATAGAGATAGGCAAGGTCTCGTGGGTAATCAGAGGTTGAAAGAAAGGTCTCCCATCTATAGCCTCAACAGCCAGAGGTGAAGCTTTCTCTTTGACAGGTATAGAGTGTTTTTTAACAAAATGCATGTCATTAAAGTTACCTGCCGCACCTGAGTCTACCAGGGCTTTGCATGAAACGTTTTTCTTGTTGCAAAGTGCAACAGTGTCTAGGTGAAATCTACTTTGGTTATTACTAGAGTACGTATCCATCACACCTAAGACCTGTCCCCTCAAGGTTCTTAGGTACGGAAGTTTTTCGGGCTTATAGGACAAGTCTCTCTCATATGTCCTTTTTTGCCACAATATAAGCATAGACCCTCTCTTCTCATTTAATACTCCTATTACTCTCCCATAACGGATTGGCCCAGGCTAAGGCTTTACCTTTAAGTTGGTTCATTAGGTAACCAATCTTAGCTCTATCTGAGGGGAATGATCCCCATGAGGCCTTAAAATGGTATTCAATTTGATTCAGAAATCCCTGGCATTCTTGAATATTCCCATCAAAATGCAGGGGAGGAGATGGGGAGATAGTAGGTGCCTTATGTACTATAGGTGGGGGTACATTAGGCGGAGCCGTCTCAGGCTGTAGGTGCGCTGTTCAGGTAAGAAGTGTACTGTAAGCCTGGGCAAACTGATCCATATGGTGATCATTCTCATCTAGCTTTCTCTAGCAAGCAGCTATGTGCTGACACAATTATGCAGGATCTATGGCCCTGTCGTAATGTCAGGATTACGAATTGATCCTGCACACAGAATTGTGTCACACCTAGGACTAAGGATAATGTCTAACCGGACCTTAGAATGGTCAGACTTAACGTATCCAAGAGTAGTCAGATACTAGCCGAGGTCAGAGATACAGAATCAGACACAACGATGAAAAAAAGCCAAAAGTCAAAGATGCCAGAAATCAGGGAAGTCAGAAGAAAGCCAAAGTCAAATACCAAAATATCAAGATCAGGAACGCACCCTCCGATTACCAACAGGCAGAAACCACAACAGGGCAATGAGAGAATGTAAATATAAGTTTAAATAACCCATCCTGTTATTCCGATTGGCCGTAATCAGCCTTTGACCGCAAAATGTCATCCTCAACGTGGGCAGTCATGGGCTATAAAGTAGCATAGATCCGCAGCGGCCTGTAGATGGGCACAACTATTCCTGTCAGGACGGTAAATACCATCAAACACATTACTATAAGCGGATGAATTTGTTACAAATATGAACCCACCCTATCTACTTCACTATCCTCTCCATTCCCCTGCCATGCACCCTGTCACATATAAACACACATCTAATCACATGCATCCAGCCACATACAACCATATAGTCACCTACAACCACCCACTGATATAGAAATATATATATATATATATATATATATTTTTTTTTTATAAACCAAGCCAGTCACAGGCCTATTCAATGCTACACTTACTCACCCGTTCATATTTGACTGAACATCGATTACAAATACATTTATTCATAAAGGAGTGTTGTATCTCCTGTCCCTTTTTGCTCCCCTACGTTCTTCTTAAATAAAGTTAACTTATCCTAAATGCAGTACTTCAGTACTGATGATCTCCTAGACAATCAAATTCTTCTCATACAGAAGCACTGAGGCAGATGCTTTCTGCCTTCACAGACAAGCACTGAATGGGAGAGGACTACGGCAGTTTCTCAGCTCAAGATAAGCCTTTTATTAGATCACATTGGTTAAATTTAAGGCATAACAGGATTTGATAAATATTTGTTTTAATATTAAAACCTATATTTTACATTAATAATATCAGATGAGGTGATTTAATTCAGTTTATCGGGCACATATTTGTTGGTAAACGGCATCATCAGATTTGGCAACTAAAAGTTGTTCATAAATGCTTTGTCTTACTAGTTTCTTACTTTTTGCCTGCTGGCTGGTGGAACACCTTCTTCCTTGGTGGGGAATACATCATCTAAGCATTTTGGATTGAGAAAAACCATTGTTTACTCTTTCTAATGTGAGTACTATATTTTATTTCCTGTATCTACCCACACCAGAGAAAGATGTCTGCATTTATATCTCAGAGTGGGTATTTTCCACTCCAATAAAGACTCGTAACTTGTAATATACCTATTATTCAATTTGATCTTTTTTTTAAAAAACTACACTATCCTGGCATTCTATTTCTGTTTGTGTTGTATGTCTAAACCATTTTGTGTTGGACCAAGACAATAGTAAGGTGGGGATTATACCGCCCAACCACTATAGTTGGAGCTAAGAGTCAGCTCCTTACACTGTAAGTGTATTTCCTTTTTTCTTCTTTTTTTTCTCTTCTTTTGAAGTTCTGATATACTACACCATATGTTTCTCTTGATTTCACCATATATACCATCTTGAGTTTGAGGACTTTTCCAAGGCACTGCTACTTATTTTATCTCTTTCACTAATATTTGATTATTGAGATACTCCAAGCACCGTAACTACGTATGCAAAAGAATGTGTAAGTAAAGTTAGCCTTTTTGCTTTATGTCCTAAGCCTCGTAATCCTAATTCTCTTAACCCTAATTCTCGAATTCTGAATCGTGAATGTGGGCTGCTGCCAGGCTTATTTTTTGTCCCACTGCCCCTGCCCTACCCTGCTTAAAATTATTTCAAAGACAAGCATTAATGAAAAGTGTGGACTTTAGATATATAGATAGATAGATAGATTTGCAACAGGCTATTTCTATGGCACTGCCAGCATCTCCACAGTAATTTCAATTTCCTAGCTGTTAATGTAGTGCCACTTACCAGATGTGATTAGCCATATGCTTCATCCATGTCCATTTCATTTGAGAGGTCTCTGATATCACCTGCAGACACTTTGCATTGCAGCATCTCCTCCCATTCAGCTTGTGTAGCTGGATTGCAGTGCTTCCACTCTTCTGTTGACAATACACTTGCTATCTGTCTACCTGTTCATGACGATCTTCTAGGGATTCTTGCCGACTCAGCTTGGCTGTTTCCACCTGGCTCTGAATCTTTTTCTTTTAATTCCTTCTAAATAATAGTATCTCATTTGCCAGGATGTTGCCCGACAGTTCTCTTCATCTGAGCAATATATGTGTTACTCTATGTACTCTGTCTCTTGTCCTATCTGTTCCCCCAATCCAATGAACCCTGTGATTATGTCAAACCTGTCCCTTTCTGGAGTGGCTGTCTCAGTATTTCTCCTCTCTCGGTCTTGAAAAAAATATTTTTGATCTTGAATATACATTATATGCCTTGAATGTCAATATCTGATACCATAAATTACAAGTGCATTAAAGTTTGAAAGTTTAAAAGTTAGTATTTTGAGACTATAAATGTATTAACCTAGAAACTCTTTGTATATGAAATTTATGTTTTTAATAAGTAGACATCTCAGCTAAGTTCACAGTGGGGCTGATTTGTGTATATTCACATGACTTTAGTGTTCCAAAATATGTACCATAATTAATGGTATTTTCTGTGTTTTTACAAATACATTGCATTTTCTTTGAAATTGTAAATGAAAATTGACATCAATATCACTAATCTATACGACTCACGGTGTTTAAAAAGTAAACTTTTTGAACTGCCCTGTATTATATTTTCAGCAAAATGTTGATACGTGTCTTCTAAGAGCACAATTTGTTGTAGTTTCATGCAAAAATAATAAAGTACCAGCCATATATAGGCTAATATATAGTCACAGTAGCATTACACACACATATTGACATAAATATATGTATAACTCTTATGAAAATTAGATTATGCTACCTGTATAACGTGCAGAAATATGCAAAAGTCCAGATACAAAAACTATTTGTTAGAAACAAGAACATTTAAATGCAATATATACACCTGTAACTTAAAAATAATAAGAAGAAATGTTGTTCATTTGCATATTCACAATAAAATATTAATTGCCCAATAATTCTCAATTACTTTTCTTTTGAGGGATTCTATTAATAAGAATAAATTACTATAGAAAGTTTAAAACAGGCAATTGCCCCAACAGCAGCACTCTGAATGTTATTCCATTAAGATTTACACACAGTTTGACACACTTAGATTATGTTTTGCCACAAAATGGGCAATGGAAGTGAAGACGTGGAAGAAGAGGATTAAGGAGACTTGTTTGAACTGGTTGTCAAAGATTGAGAGATATTATGGAAAAGGATGGAACAACACAGCACCAAAATATTAGAATAAAAGGAAGAATGGACTTTGTAAAAAGAATTGCAAGGACAGTGATAAAAAGTGTGACACTAATGGAGCACACAACTTTTTACATTTTTAATAAATAGCACATTAAATTCCATCTATACATTGTGCTAGCAAAACTGTTAGCAAGATAAAAAATCTGTTTGAAAGTAGGTCCCTACTCCACCAGTCAATCAACTCTTAAGCACAGAACTACATACTGATGAACTGGCTGGAAGTGATAACAGGAGAGACCTCCTACAGGTCGCCCTCAGGCTCTCTGGCATAACAACTACAGCCCATGCGCTGCGATTGCTATAGTTACTCTCTATGGCTTCTCCCTGTGCAAACACAAGAATGCTGTCAAAGAAGCCATTATTTTGCTTGGTACAGCGAAGCAGAGTGCAGGTGGTACCAGTGGTGTGTTTAAGACATGGCAGGTAGAGGAAGTTAAGTAATGTCTATATCTTTAAACTTTACAATGAATATATAATTTAGATCTATGATACATTACACATTCAATGGGGAGATTTCAATTAAAGAGAACCTGTAATGTAGTGAACTTTTAATATGTTAGGCAAGTGTAAAACTCTACTAATATTCTGTGGTCCAGATTAGCTGTTCTGCTTCTCAAACCGATGCTTGCAAGCATACATGATGAAACAGAGAAGCACATTAGGATGAGATTTTGGATTGTGGCACTTGTGAAAGAAAGCAAGATGGTAAATGAAATCAGTGTGCAGAAGGTGCTGAAAGGCTGGAAATGACATGACAGAATGGAAGAAGATAAAACAAAATATGCTGCTGGCACATAGATTTGCATTGATTTGTAGCTGTGAGAATGGACATGTTATCTGTCAGTATTTCAGTTTGATATTTTAAACATGCTGTATATTTCTACAAGTTTACAAATTCACCACTTGCACTGCAAACAGCATATAAATAAAGTTTGACATAGATAAAAACAGCACCACATACCATGCCGCTTTGTTTTTCTGTAGCTCTTCTCTATTCCCTTAAGTCCGTCTGCCTCTCCTTGCCTCCTTTCTGCGATGCTTTGCTGACGTCGTTAGATTACAGAAGGAACAGCAAGCTCACTTCCATGCTCTGCAGCTGACATGAAGGTAGGGAGTGGGCAGTGTTCACAGGGTGCTGTTGACCTCCCACTTTAATTTAGCCACCCACCAAAAATCACAAAAAAAACCATAAACAACATCAAACCCCTCGCCACTACCAACACTGAAATACGGTGAAATGGAGGCTGACAAACACCCAGGCAGAACAGGTGACAAAACAAACATCATGATGATTTAAATACATTAAAACTTGCCAAACCAATTATAGTTTAAGGAACACCCTAGTCACACTATAGCTTAATGAAGCAGCATTGGTGTATAGATCATGCCTCTACAGGCTCTCTGTTCAGTTCTCTGCCATTTCGGAGTTACATCACTTTGTTTATACAGCCCTACTCACACCTCCCTGCATGTGACCTACACAGTCTTTCTTAATACTTCCTGTAAAGAATCCTCTAATACTTACACTTCCTTTATTGCAAATTCTGTTTAATTTAGAATTTCTTATCTCCTACACTGTTAGTAGCTTACAAGACCCTGTAGGAGACTCCTGTATGTAATTAAAGTTCAATTTGCAGAGCAGTAGATTAAAACTTTTAAAGTAAGTTACATCTGATTAACAATTGAACCATTTTGTTTTCATGCAGGCTGTGTCAGTCACAGGAAACGTGTGGCTAGGGCTGCATATACAGAAACAAAAGTTATTTAACTCTTAAATGGCAGATAATTGAGCAGTGAAACTTCAGAGATATAATCTATACACAAAAACTGCATCATTAAGCTAAATATGTTTTGGTGTCTATAGTGTCCCTTTAATTTTACTATACAAACTTTTTACACACATCATTTTTTTTTTCTAAAATAAGTAGTATGGGATAAGGCAGGACCTTTGTAGATTGAATAGTTTAAGTAAGTAATAAGGTGACCTCTGGTTACAGCAGGGATGACTGCACCAAGACATGCAAAATTCCAGCTTTTTTTAAAGTTTGATGTAGAAATATTAAGGCACAGTCCCTAACACCTTTACCAAATCCTCTGTCTTTCTTTTATTTCACAGCATCCTTATTACATTACAAAGTTTAACATCTCACATGAGTCTTTACATAATTACATTTCTAGAGGCAGAAGATATTAATTTTGCTTATTTTCCAACATTTATAGGAAAGTGATGCATCATGCCGATAATTTGACTTGCTCATCAGGTCTAAAACTATTCCCAACAAAAAACATTTTTGTACAGTAATAAGCATTAAAACTTTTATGACATTGGATATATGATGTAACAATTGATTCCAAAAGAGAGGTTTGCTCAGGACAGCTCCACCTGGAACCAATACACCACTATGTATGGCCCTTTCTAATTACTAAATTGATATACTAGATATACTACCTCTTGATATACTAGAAGGCTAAGTAAATCCCCCCCTCCCCCTCCTAAAAAGAAATATATATATATATATATATATATATATATATATATATAAATATATAACTTTCCACGTGTCCCGCACTCACTGCTCCCTGTCTTGTTAATGCCTTGAAAAAAGTCTGTCAAGGACTGAAACGTCGACATTTCTTTGTATTACTTGATGCTTGAATAAACAGCATGATTAGAAATATTATTGAGTCCTGTGAGTGCACTTCAACAAGAACCTATATATACTTATATTATGTGTGGGTGTGTATATATATATATATATATATATATAGAGAGAGAGAGAGAGAGAGAGAGAGAGAGAGAGATTTCTCACCACTCCTGGGTGGCATATTTATTGCTCATTCTTGGGTCTTCTACCAGAGGCCTGTGAGTGTGAGGGTTCTGAGCAGTATCTTAGCTGTTCTGCACTCTTCTGGACAGAGATCTTTAAGGTTCCACCAGGAATCTGTTGAAGCAACGCCCCCAACTTAGGAGTCACTGCCCTGAGTGCTCCTATCACACTGCCTTCACTTCCTACATCCTTTCTGGTTAGAAAGGAGATTATATATATATATATATATATATATATATATATATATATACACACACATATATATACACATACATACATACACACACACACACACACACACACAAAGTAAAGACAGGAGCACTCTTGGGTTCCAGAACCTGGAGAGGATCTGCAAAGAGGAGTAGGACAAAATCCCTCCTGACATGTGTGGCCAACTACAAGAAACGTTTGTCCTCTGTGATTGCCAACAAGGGTTTTGCCATCAAGTACTAAGTCGAAGGGGTCAAATACTTATTTCACTTGTTGACATGCAAATCAATTTATAACTTTTTTGACATGCGTTTTTCTGGATTTGTTTTTTGTTATTCTGTCTCTCACTGTTAAAATAAACCTACCATTAAAATTATAGACTGATTATTTCTTTGTCAGTGGGCAAATGTTCAAAATCAGCAAGGGATCAATCCCCCTCACTGTGTGTGTATATATACAGGGCCGGACTGGCCCACCGGGATACCGGGAAATTTCCCGGTGGGCCGTCGGCACCTGGGGCAAGGCAGACACCTGGGTCTGCTGTCGGCCGCTGGGGAGGTCTTCTGGCGGCCGCTGGGGGACTTGTCCTGGCGGCCACTGGGGGAGCTGCGCTGGCTCTGCTCTCTGGCGGCCGCCGGAAGACCTCCCCAGCGGTAAAAGTCCTCCAGCGGCCCCAGAAGACCTCCCCCTGGCAGGTATTAGTAATGTGTCTGTCTGTGTTATCATGTCTGTCTGTGTCATGGTGTGTGTGTGTCTGTCTGTCTGTGTCATGGTGTCTGTCTGTCTGTATGGTGTGTGTGTGTCTGTCTGTCTGTGTCATGGTGTCTGTCTGTCTGTATGGTGTGTGTGTGTGTGTGTCTGTCTGTCATGGTGTCTGTCTGTCTCTCTGTATGGTGTGTGTGTGTGTCTGTGTCATGGTGTCTGTCTGTATGGTGTGTGTGTCTGTCCATAATGGTGTGTGTGTGTCAGTCTGTCCGTCATGGGATGTGTGTGTGTGTCTGTCCGTCATGAGGTGTGTCTGTCTGTCCGTCATGGGGTGTGTGTGTGTGTGTCTGTCTGTCCGTCATGGTGTGTGTGTGTGTGTCTGTCTGTCATTCATGGGGTGTGTGTCTGTCCTTCATGGGGTGTGTGTCTGTCCTTCATGGGGTGTGTGTGTCTGTCTGTCCGTCATGGTGTGTCTGTCTGTCCGTCATGGTGTGTGTCTGTCTGTGTCATGGTGTGTGTCTGTCTGTGTCATGGTGTGTGTCTGTCTGTGTCATGGTCTGTCATGGTGTGTGTGTTTCTGTGTCTGTCATGGTGTAAATGTGTGTTTAAAAATAGTGTTTTTGCTCACCTTTTTTTTTTCCCCACGCAGCGTGCTGGTCTCCCCTCGACTGGCCCTGCCTCTATAGCTGAGATCATCAAGCTTGATGATCTCAGCCAATCCAATGCTTTGCCATAGGATTGGCTGCAAAACGCCACTCCAATCAGCATCTCCTCATAGAGATGCATTGAATCAATGTATCTCTATGGGGAACGTTCAGCACCTACAGAGTGTGGAGGCCCTGAATGTAGGTGCACTAACACAGGAAGCACCTCTAGTGACCGTCTGAGTGACTGTCACTAGCAGTGTCACTTTGAAGCAATGTAAACACTGCCTTTTCTCTGAAAAGTCAGTGTTTACGTTGAAAAGCCTGTAGGGACATGCTATAGACACCAGTACCACCACATTAAGCTGTGTGTGTGCGTCTGCTAGTGAGTGAGCTTGCTTGCATGCGTGTGCCTGCTAGTGAGTGAGCTTGTGTTTTTATGTCAATGAGCTGATGTATATCAGTAAGATTGTTTGTCTATGAGGCTGTGTATCAATGAGCTTGTGTGTGTCATTGAAATGTCAGTGAAATTTCCTGTGTCTGCATGTGAGTATGCTTACTGTATAATTAAACGTTTTACCCTGAAAGGACCAATATTTTATATTGGAAAAAGCAATATATATATATATTACTCAATCATCTGTTCTGGCAAGACATAGCCTTACATATTACACGCGACAATATATGGCGCAGTGACTTATGGGGCTGGCACAAATTTTTTTTCCAGGGCTGCTTTGTATCCCCAGTCCGGCCCTATATATATATATATATATATATATATATATATTGGGTTGTATGGAAGGTATCCAGCCATGTATTGTGAAAAATAGAGACATTTATTGAAGAAGATATAAGATACAAGAAACACTGCTTATAGGACAATGACGCCACAGTAACTTTCAAAGTAGGCACCTTGGGACCTCACAAAAGTCTCCCAGCGTCTCTTCCACTGTTCAAAACACTCTGGAAAATCCAAAAGCAATCAACTGCCTTATTGCATTTACCTGAATCTCATCGACTGTCTGAAATCTCTTCCCTTTCCAAAGTGATTTTAGTTTTGGGAAAAGCCAGAAGCCGCAGGGCAACAAATCTTTCAACAGATTCTCAGCCATCTTTAAAGCGTTTGTGTAACACTTTATTTTCCTTGCACTCATTATACCATTGCCAAAAGCCTTCTGAATCATCCAAATAGTTTCTGCAAATGAATGTTCAAGCTTAACGCAAAATTTGATGCAGATCTGTTGCTCTACTCGCTCAGACATTTTAAATGCAACGGCCACAGAGTACACATGCTTAATCAACGGCGTCTAGCATCCCCACTGACTAATACAGTGAAGTTGTCATTGTTCACACATGCGCATTCCAGTCCACTCTCTTTCTGCTGATGTGGAAATGTAAGATGGAACTATCTTTTAAGGCAGTGTGACAGAATGCTTTGTGAGTCATGGTCTGGGGTGCTCTGTTTAGGGCCACAGTAATTAAATTTATCTCCTAAACAGTAAAGAATTAAGATGTGCGACTGCAAAGCATAGTTGAAGCACCCCAACTACGTTGTTAAGCTGGAAGTGGTTTTGGTGCTTATATTTTCCTTTTCAGACAAAGCAAAGTTATGTTACTTGTGAGCATTAATATATTACAGGGAGTGCAGAATTATTAGGCAAATTAGTATTTTGACCAC